AAGGAGAAGAAGCGTCGCACAAGGAATGTGTCTACAGAATAGGTATAGTACACGTATGTATGTATTTATTTACGTATGTGTGAAAAAGAATGAGATAAAAAAAGGTAAAGAGAAAAATATAACCGATAACCAGTTGTCTCGGAATCTTCGGGGTACATTGCTGGTTTTGATGCTGCTAACGCTGGTTGCTTGCTACTGATAGAGAAAGAAAAATTCTTGAACAAAGTTTCGCCGATAGAATCACAGCAAATAGCTTCTGTCACCGCAATCTGAGAAATGTATATGATGAGTATATAGTTTTGTACATATTATCTCCTTTCTTCAATTTCTCTTGTCTTGTTTCTCTTTCTCTTTGTGTGTTATGTTTGTATTGTTGTTGCGATACACGTTGGATTGTATATTGTATTAAATTACATTTGATTGTATTCTCTCATCTTGTTGTATGTACATCTTATGTGTACACCATGTACACTACACAGCACGCTTTGCTTATTGCAACTTGTTTTATATTATGATAATATATAATATATAATGGTAGTGTACTCAGTGGCTGTGTATTTAGCACGGGGCTGAAGTTTAATTGGCGTACGAGTTAATGATAGACGTTAGAAGATTATTATCTAAGAAACGTGTCACAATTGTAAATTTATTCATCGTTATTATCATCGAGGTCTCGTTGTTTATTAAACGTAAATTAAAATTAATATTATTACAATGAGCATGATGAAATAATTCATTGAGCGAGAGATGATAAAAGTAGGTAAGAAAGTGAGTAAGTAAATAAGTGAGTAAGCGAGTAAATAACTTTAACTTTTAATAAGTGAAAGTATTTAATAATATGAGAATAGTTTAGTTTAAATCTCGAGATTGTTAATATAATAAGTGAGAAATATATTTAAACTGTTAAGAGATAAGTATAATTTTTTCTTAACAGGTAGAGAGGAAATATTGACTCGACAACAGGATTTCCTTTGTCTTATTTTTTATCCTCAAATACACAAATTCAAGCCAATCTGACTCACAGCAGATGAAACTCAACTCAGCTGGTGGTACAATACTACCAGTTGAAGTCGTGCTGTGGTGTATTATATTGGATGCACTGATGGAAGGATTTATTTGTATTAAATAATATTTGTTAATAGTTAAAAAATCATTTATTAGAGACCACTTTTTAGCATTAAATAAATATTTCTTAGTATTTAAAATGATTTGTTTGTATTTAATAAATCTGATATTCATTTATTAAATATTAATAAATCTTTTTAAATACTAAGAAATATTTGTTGAGGACTCTAAAAAATGGCTTTTAATAAATGATTTGTTAAATATTAACAAATATTTTTAACTATAAACAAATCCTTCTATCAGTGTGCCAGTGAATAAGTTTAATGGATTATTTGTTTGTTTGTTTTCTCGAGATTGATGTGACTTTATCGACAGCAATATAAATTAAATAGCATGATGATATTATACTTATACACCCAAGTACTAAGAGTATAATACAAGTTAATCGTTTAACTTTTTGGCAGTGCTAAGAAATTATAAAAAATGAATAATGTATGAGGATTAAGTTTTAAAACAATTTGTAATACCACAACGAGACAAAGAGGAGAGAAAGTCTTTAATTGTATGTTACGACATATGAGTCTGTGCCAAAAATTACTTGGCACGAGTTATGAGTGCTATGACAATTGTACGCTAATTGATGGATCCGTTGAGTCGACAAGTACAGTCATAAAAAGTATTGAAAGAAATAAGAGTTAGAGGATTGTATATTGTCGACAGGACAAGTATGCTAAAGATTGATCAAATATCTAAAAAAAGAAAGTCAACAGGATCAAGCTTTAAGGACAATATATGATATGAACGCATGTCGGAGTTACGGATAAAATCGAGATTAATTTAAACGAAAAAATAAAAAAATAATAATAATAATAAAAACTGAACAATACCTCGAGGTCCTCGTAAGTACGGAAAGCTAGTATAGCAAATCCGTCGATAATATCCTCCTCAAAGGGTGGCTCCTTCGCGTTGGCTCCGGCTAGGGATGACTTTTTTCTAGGCCTGGGTGGCCTAGGTGGCCGTGGCGGTCGTTGATGATTGTCACGAGGACGATTTCCTCTAGATATCTCAAGACCAAGGCCGCCAGTGTCTTCGTCTTCACCACTGTGACTGTCTTCCTCGTCAGGTCGATGCCTCGCAGTCTGTTGTTGCTGTTGCTTAGCACTAGCAAGACTCTCACGTTGTGCCAGGATCCTCTGAGCACGTTCGCGACGTCTATTACGCTGATTTCTTTGCTTAACCTCGATCTCCATGTCGAGTTTCACCACCCCGAGAGAAGTAACGCGTCGGGGACCCACAAGGAGCCGGCGCCAACAGGGCGATCCAGCTCCTAGAGTACACCCCCGTCGTTTTCACAAGTCAATCACCGACGGTAGTAGAAACACCAACAACCGCTAGCACATCTTGTACACTCGAGCATTATTATTGTCTTTGTTAAAAGTAATTATACGTTTATACTTAGCTTTGAATTATTTTTTTAACGTCTGCACTTGTTCACTTTCTATATTTATTGTATAAATAAGTAACCGCAAGGAAGACGTTAAGCCTCGTTTCCTTTTTATTGTATCTGGATCCTTATCCTTGACTTATTTTTCTTCTCGTTGTGATATTAGCTTTTACTGTTGCTACTGGTGCTGTTACTGCTCCAACAAATTCTCGCGTATCCGAATTTCTCACACAGGACATCCACGGTGAGTACATCGATCGGCAAGTTGTGTATGTTGTAGACAATGGGATCACTGCTCCGTCGCTCAAACTCTCCGCTTATATTTTAGCTGTAACACAGTCACAAAATTTTACACCTCCATTTATGGTATATACATTAAATTAATTAAAATTATATTTTTTACACATAACCACAAACATATCTATGTATAAACATATAAATATTACATTTATATTTATCTGTACATACATAAAAATACTTTGTTACTATATACAAATTAAATACACTCTAGTATTACTGGCATAAAAAAACATTATTTATTTTTTTTTTTTTCCGTTAAATAATAACTATTATTTTCTCTAGCACTAACACACAATACACGTACAATTACTGTAGGTACGGTTCGTTCTCATGCACGCACGCACCTTTTCCAAAGACTCATCATTGCTCCAAATGTATTACTGCGATTATTATTACAATAAAACACCCGTTACCACTTGCCAATAACTACACCACATCCTCAACAAAATAATTATTTACCAATTCATAAATATATATTATTATCATTAAAACATAATAAATATCACCATCACTAAAAAATTTAAATATATGACCATAGATAAATTAATATTTCATTTTTTCAGCTACTGTGACTCGCTCACAACAAATACTGACTTACTATCATTTAAAAGCCAACCTCAACTTCAACTTCTCAACACAACTGATATTTTACTCTCTGAATACATACATCTATTAAACTCCCACTGATTCACCAGTTATATATATATATATTACCTAGATTAAATCCTGCATGCCACAGTGCGCTTGACTTGCCCAATGAAAAAAAAAAAAAAAAAAAAAAGAAAAAAAAAAAAAGAAAAACTGTTAAACCCACCAACGACAACCAAGACACTTAAACATAAAACAATAAACAACCATTATCACAACAGATAGATAGGAGCGTGATGTTAGGACAGGGCCGGGCCCTATCGGTTGTACGCGTTCCGATCAAAATGTACCCGAAGAAGGCACGTACACCGATTGTTTGGAATGGCGGACCGAACGGGCACGCACGGTTGCCGCATCGTGTGGTAAAAATGGCCGCGACCTGTCCCCGCACAACTAGAAAACCCCCGCTGTTAAAAACTCCGACTGGCGTTTTATCCACGACACGGGGCCTGTCCGTAAGCTCCGTCTCGCGACGACACCATGGCCCAAATGCAACTGTCCAAATCGACACTTTTATCTCTAACTATCTATATCACAATGTCGTAATAATTACACACACTCTTTATATCTATATATATTGTTACAATAAAATTTAAGTAAGTAGATGTACACATAAATATCCGCATATGATATATTTTATAAATATATATGTATGTCTATTTCTATTTATCTATTTATATAAATGTATGTTCTGATAGTAAATCCTTTAGGCTAGGCTTTTAACTTATTTTCCGTCAATATGACTTTCACCCACACACAATAAACTCGGATACCTTGTCGTCAATGTATATATATGTATATAAGTATATATTCATATGTAAGTTGTATCTGTACATGTATATATATATATATATATATATATATAACAACACAGTATAGATTTAATTAATATTGTGTATTTGCAATGTTTATTAAAATAAAATAAATAAATAAGATATTGTTGTTATTCTAAACTAGTATAGGACCGACAGTCGTAGTTAAAACACTTACACACGCCCTTAATTACACGCAAACCGACCACGGGCTCTCTTGTGATTACGGATTATTGTTCTTTCGAGCACCGTGCATTCTGTCAGCAGCACCCTCCGTACCCGAGAACATGGCGTAGGTACAACATCACCGGAGAGCACACACACATTGACGTTTATGTCTACATAGAAGTAGTTCCTTGCCTGCTTTTGGATTTTGATACACTCGTGGTTGGTGGGTGAGCTGCGTCCAAGAGAGACAGCTTGTTACCATGAGATGGTGTCAGCACTATTGACAGGGATGCTAGCGAAAGAGAGAAGCAACCAACACCATATGTGTGTGTGTGTAAGAGGTTAGTTTCTGACCAGGTGGCTGTTGGAGTGACAGAGATAGAGAGTGTTTAAACACTCGTGGTGGATCTTGTGTGTGAGGGCCTCGATCTGCCCTGTAGTATGTAGTTGTACATACAGACTACAAACGGCATGCACTAGCGCCTCGATAAAACTGCTGACGAGCTGCACTACGTACCAACGCACTGTATTCAACTACGCTGCTGCGCTCTACAATTCATTTGCTAGACTAGACTTTTGAGAGATACTGAGAGAAAAACTTTAAGCTCCGGACGGTAGATTACACTCTTCTGCCGCTATTTATTTAAATTTTTATTTTTATTGTAATTAAGGCCCAAATTTACATTATGCAGTCCTGTGATTTTGAGGGTAAAATTATCAAAGTATAAAAAAATTTTATTTAAAAATACAAGTATCATATCAAACCCCATACATTTGTTTTTTTTTGGTGACTGTTTAGCGACAGTTCATTGTCTGATAGGTCTAGCATTTCGGTTTTGCAATTTTTTACCGCTTTTACCATGGCATGTAAAAATACTGATGTTGTACATTGATCGATTCCATTTAGGTGCAATGCGTGAGCTAGAAATGGGATTTTTCTAAGCGTTCTGCCACTCAAACCAACACTCGTAGGCACCAGATCTGATTTCAAGTATGGCTCAACGTCTACCGATCTATCCTGACTTCCATCATCCTTTAAAAGACCGGTCTGCAATAAATAATGATTATTTTTTAATATTTATTACTGGCTAACAATATTACGAAAAATTAGAGAAAAAAAATTGCTGTATTAGACTGGATAGTCAATAAATTAAAAATATATAAAATATTATTATTATTATTATTATTATTATGTTAATAGATAAAAAAAAATAATTACCCTTTCTAATTCTTTTAGGCACGTATAATAAATCATTGCTATAGCATCTTCTCCAGGGTGACCAATATATTGTTTAATATCAGCTCGATCAACAAAAGCCAAATCAATAGCTTCTGTTACATTACTAGTTGTCATGATAAGTACGTTCTTGTATCGTTTTATCTGATCCAGCTGAGTTAGCAATGAATTTACAACTCGTATTGAGTCACTAGGCTCTGTACCATTGATACAAGCTTTACGAGCATGTGCTAGTGATTCAACTTCATCGATTAAAATACAAACTAATGATTGTGGATCTTCCAGGAGTATTTTGATCTCGGTGAAAAGTTTCATTACCAATTTACCGCTCTAAAAAAATATTAATATTAAATAGTTAGTTATTTAGCGCAAAAATTAATTATTGTTCGTAAGATTATTTTTAAAAAATACCTCTGAAAACCATTTGGAAAATAAACTATGACTGTTTATTTCAACTAATTCTCCACGTGTAAATTTTTGATTAAGTCTTATTGCTGCTTTTTGTGCTAATGCTTTACAGAGACTCGTCTTTCCAGTTCCAGGTGGTCCATGCAATAATACTACTTTGTTCCAAGTAATAATATTGTGATTGACGTTTTTATCTGCAAACATCATCGTTGTTTCGACGTATTTCAAAAGCTAAAATACATCCATCATTAAGTACTTTATAATTTATAACAATTAAAAAAACATCAATAATTGCAAAAAATAAAATGTTTTTTTACCTTTTCTTTGATGTCTGAATCATAGCACAAATTCTCCCACAGTCCGTAAAAATCTCTACAAGGCAAAATCCAGTGAGACGAGACAGCCAACTCTTCAGAATCATTTTGCATTGTTTCAGTAGCAGCATCTTCTTCAGTCAAACGATAAACGAAAAATCTCATCGATGAGTAATCAATTTTATTGATTGTTTCTAGCTGTTGACCAATTAATTTAATAAATTAATAAGTAAAGAGTGTTTTAATAAACTGAATATCACCACCAGCTGTCAAATGGCTCCAATTACCTTTTTACCAAAACAGGAACAGATTATTGACTCGACATGCTCTTTAATTAGTTCATTTGACCAATTATCAACAGATATTACAAAATCAACTTCAACGCTCTCTAATTTTTCTAATTCTTGTTTTACTAATTCTTCAATTTCATTTGTTGACAATGTGCTAAAATAAATAATTTAAAGTAAATAAATATGTTAAGATAAAGATAAATCAATAGTACAATACCTGTCATTTTTTTGACAAACTTCTACGTCCAGAATATTAATCATCTTTAATAGCTGTCAAAACGTTAAAATTTATAACAGTAAATTTTTTAATTAGTGGTTATGACCCAGCTATGATCAATATAACAATTTTAAGAAAATTTAACAATAAAAATTTAATTTTACGTCAATTATTAACTTTTCAATAATTGGTAATACTGAAAAACTATTTAATTTTTAAAAACAATTTTTATTATAAATTTTTCGGCAGCTTAGTTATTTAATGTCAGTGTATACAGTATATATGTGTATATATGTAATATGAAAAAAAAAAAAAGTAGCATCTTTGTCAAAGTAAAGCCCCGCCAATAATTACGACAGATTTACAATTACTTGTTTACAGTAAGCCGTTTACAACGAGCGTAAATTTTACTGTCAAAATTACATTTGACATATATCTTTGTTAAATTCTATTGATTTAATTTAAAATCACTCTAAATATTAAAAATAATATTAAAGTGAGTTAATAGCAGTATTAATTGTAAAAGTAAATTAATATATGTGTATTTAATTGAAGAATAAAATTTAAATATCGCAGTCGATAGTGCAGAGTCACGTTTTCATGAAAATGATATCCAACGTATTTTTTTCCATAAACGCAAGCTGAGGGCATTTCACAAATGAACACAAGCAAGGGTGTACTGCACATCGTAATTCGTTACAAAATGTAATTAATAAACAGTTGTATAGTTTTAAAAATACAGAGATTTTCATATTTATATAATTTTTATTTAGTAAGTGACTAATAATATTAATAACGAAAACAAATGGACAGTGAAAAGAAAAAAAGCGCTAAGAGACGTTCCTTGGAGGCCGGCAGAGAAATGGTATGCAGTAATGTATATTAATTTCATTGCTTATAATTAGTACGAGTTATTTTAATCATCGTTAGGTACTGGTACTTGTACTTGATTCTAGTACCCGTACAATATTTTAAGCTTTTTAATGTTATTGTCATTAAAATTTTGTCTGTAAACGAATTTAATATTCTTTTAAAATTAAATATTCATATTATTAATCAATAGTTAAATTTAGTTGGCATTATTTTTATTGCAGCTGGCCAGATATAAGGAGTCACTTCGAAATATTGATACGAGTCAAACTGGAGAGCCTTCTGATGAGAGTTTTGTCCTCAATGATACACAGCAGTCTGTTGATCCACAAAGCTTTTTGGTAAATTATTAAATTCTATAAAAAAAAAAAAGTTACCATTTTATTTATTTATTTTTTTCTCTTAAAATTCTACTGATAAATAAATACTCATTGTTATGGCCAGTATGAATTTACATTTTTAAACAAATAATTGTTTGTTTGTTTGTATTAAATTTAGATGCTTGAAGATACTTCATGTAAAGACACAACACAGAGCAGTATCAGTATGAGCGAAGGAGAGGGTGATGGCGATATTTACGGTATGGCGGGTCGTGTAGCTGAGTTGAAGGAAGTTATGCAAGGTAAAGAGGCTATGATTGAGTCAATGAGTACAGAATTTGAAAACATGAGGGCTGAAGCTGGTTCTCCGAATTCCTCACAGAGTCAGAACAGCAGCACTCAATACAAAGACCTTTTTAATGCATACAGAAGTAAAGTAAGTGTGTACTGTTATCAATGTAAATAATAGGATTATTTTATTTATGAATTTAAAATTTTTCCTTTAGTTTTTTGAGTTCGAGCAAGCAATAAAGGAGCGTGATGACTATATCAATCATTTGACTGTACTATTGGAGCAGACTTTAGCATCTAGAGATTCATTAAAAACACAATTGACTGCTTTGAAACCTATTTCTGTGCCTCGGAGTGATGCTGACGGACCACTGGATGTTGATAAAAAGATTCAAGATCTAGAAGAGGCTTTAGGTAATCATGTAGAAGTTGTTCAAAAGCTTAATGAACAATTACTTGACTCTCGCAAACAAATAGATCAACTGGAAGTCGATAAAAAATCGCAGGATGCTGAAATAGTTAGTTATAAATTCACCATAAATAAACTCAATGAAGATCTACAGAAATATTCAGAGATGATGAATATGTATGAGGAGACAAAAAATACTATTACAAAAAGAACCGAGTCGGTGATTGCAAAATTCAAGACTGAACTAGATGATCAAAAACAGTTACATGAACAGCAAATCAAAGAGCTTGACGGTAATCATCAAACAGAAGTAGCAAAAATTAAACAACGTTATGAAGAACAGTACAAAGGATTATTTGAGCGTTTTAATTCTGAGTTACCAGCGCTTGAGAGTAAACACTCCAAAGAGTTGCACGTTTTTCAAACTCAATTAACAACTTATAAAAAAACTGTGAATAATCTTAAAACTGATTTAGATAATCGAATTAAATCTGAACAATTAGTAATGTCTGATTTGAATAATGCTAAGAGACAATTGATGCTCTGTCAACAAGATAAAGAAATGCTTGAGGAACAGATAAAATTACACAAAGTACAAGTTGAAGAGTTAACTGTTAAATACATGGCTGCTAGCAGTGTTTTGAACTCAAAAGAAAGCATTGAGAGATCTTTAGAAGAAGCATTGATTAATGTTGAGACACTTAAGCGCGATTATGAAACACTTCAATCAAAGTATGATGATGTGAGTGCTAAATACGCAGCAACACAGTCTTTGATTGAAAATACACAATCACACGAAAGAGCTATGAATCACAGAGGGTTTGAATATGATAAATCGTTGTCACGTATGAGTGGTCTCAATGCTAGTTTTGCTAGTGAAATAAATGCTACAACTTATCAGACATTTGATGATTTTAGTATTCAGTATGAGATGATGAAGAAACGGTTGGAAGAAAAAGATTCATTAGAAAAAAAATTAACTGATAAAATTAGTGGTCTTGAGGATAAAATTTCCAAAATCACCAAACAGCTAGAAGAGACCAATTTAGAGAAAGAGTCTTATGAAAAACAATTCAAGGATGCTAAAAATAGGTGTGATAAAATGATGTCTGAATTAAAAACAATGAAAGAATCAAACGCTACAGTACCTCAACCTTTTCCCAGTTCTATTTATTTCCCTGATGTTAACTCTACATCTTTAAATGATTCTTTGTCGGAGCAAAAGGATATTCGCAATAATTCGAACAAAATAGAGTCTTTTAAGAGGGAGATTGAGGAGTTGAAGCAGGCTCTTCAACAAAAAGATCAGGAGCTCACCGAAGCGGATACTAAGCTTCGCAAGGCTATGGAAAAAATTAAACAGTACAAAGCTGAGTGTGATCAAGCTAAAAGCGGACTTGCCCGAGCTTGGGAGCATTGTGCTGAAGTTGGTGAACGTTTAAATCAAACACTTGCCATTAATGAAAGTCGTTTTACTGATTCAATAATGACGACCTTCAGTAATAATAATAATACTACTACCAATGATCTAATCGATCAGTTGGAAGAGTCTAGTGATAAAATTGCCATCTCTTCTTGTAAGTATGAAGATGAGAGTATTATTAGTGCGTCAGATAAAATTTCTAGTCTTAGTCATTTGGGAAAGCAGCTGAATTGTTTGCATGTTCGAACGGAAAATATTGAATTGGAAAATCAAAAATTAAAAGAAGAAAATACGGAGCTTTTGAGAGCCCGAGATAATTGGGAAAAACTTAAAGCTGATATGGAAAAACTTCATGCTCAAGAAATGGAAGAAGTGAGAATGTATTTTGAGGACAAGTGCAGGCAAATAGAAAAACAATATTCTGAGGATGTGTTTAGTCAACAATCAAAAAAAATGTCTGATGACAGTGAAGTTGAAGAAATGGCTGATGACTTGTATTGTGGAGGCGGTGGTGACTGTATTGTTAGTATTAATAATAAAACTGTTGATAACTCCAAAACTGAAGTGACAGCTGATCGTCATATTAAATGTGAAGACTTGAATCGCAATTCTATTCTTGAAACTCAAGTACACCAGGTAATTTATTTTACTTTTAAGTACTTAACTTAAAAATATTATTTAGATAGCGTGAAGAAATTATTTATAATTGCAATAAATTAATTATTTAGTTTCGAAAAATAAATTTTAAAAATTAGTTTTCTGTAATAGTAATTGAATGAAATTTTTTGGTAATCTGGTATTTTTACCTTATTCATTAAGCATGCTCCGATAAAAGAGACATTAAAACTCTGGTAGAATAATAAATTAATTATACCGTGACTATTAACCCGCAACAAATGTCCATTTGTAACTAACAATTAATAATAACTGCGTGTGTAACCAACGTGCGCATGCAGCTTTGTCAAACAGAATTGGATGCTGCTGTCGAGAGTAGCGAGTTAACCGAGCTACGGGCTGCCTACAGCCAGCAGCTTGCGGAACAAATTGCACTCGCCAAATGTGACATTGTCAACGCACTCCAGGAACAAATTCAGGTAGCCCTTCGCCACCTGTTCATCAATATTTTTTTTTATATTTTAAAACTTTTTTGTTTATTCTTTTAATCCTCTGTTTTTATGAATTTTTTAATTTATCCCACGCTCGTTTTCATTTATTTTTTTTTTAACAAACATTTTTTTCAGATAGTTTTTGTTTTTTATCTTTTACAAATTAAAATATATTTTTCAAGTATGTACGTAATTATTGTTATTGTTATTTAATTACAGGCAATAGTAAGCGCTGAATCATCTTCGGAAGAAAATTGGCCACCAGAACTTCTGGAACTACGTAATAAATTTACCAACAATGCAAAGCGTGATATAGAAAAATTGAAAAAAGATCATTTGCGTGAAATAAATCAATTGAAGGAAGAACACTCACGTAATTTAAGTAAAACAATTGAACGTTACCAAGAAGAAGTTAATAAATTAAGTATTGAAATTAAGGCTTGTAATCAAAATAAACATGTAAGTTTAGTAAATAATGATGATAAATCCATCCAACGGGATAATTTATATAAAACATGTGCGACACTTAAGAGTTCAGTAGAAGAACTCATTAAATATTTTGCTAGTTGTGAAGAGGAATTAAATAATATATTAATGACCCAAGTATTAAAACGACAAATATCAAACATTAACAATTTAACAAATGATGAAACAGATTTATATACCAGTGAAGCAGATATTAATTTAACGTCATCTACATCTTTATCTCCTACGATGAAAATAAAGCGAGTTCACTTTGCTCCTTTGCCTAGTCAGATATCCACAATTATGAAAAACGATTCTAATATTCTGATCGATTTAATCGAAGCTGATAATGATATTGCGGGCAAATTACGCATTGAGTTACAAAAATGTTTACAGAGATTAAAAACAGAAAGTGCGGAAATATTTGACGTTAATTTATCATCTGACGATTCGGTGATTGATGCTCTGTCAAAGCAAATTTCTTGGACAACTAAAATTAATGAGGAACTTAATGCTAGACTTTCTGAGGCTGAAAATACTATTGAAGAATATCAAGATGAATCACAGCAATTAAAATGTAAAATAATGGATCTTCAGCAAAAATTAATAGCCATTGATACCCGAAAAGAAATTATTTCTGAAGGGTATGGTGAACAGGACAATACGGAAAGAGAACTTGTTGTACAAGACTTCAACCAATTACATGAAAGAGGTACTCAATAATTTTTTTATTAACACTCGTCTGATATTAACATAAATATGAATAGTCTTTGTAAAATACCTTCTGTGTTACTAATGACAGTTCTTAGTATTAATGTGATAATATTTTGGGCAATTAATTGATTAAATATAATTACAGCGAGACAAGCGATTATGAATGGAGCCGGTGATAATTCATACTTACTTCAATTGATTGAAGAATTATGTAGATATCACGACAAACAATCAGAAGACAATAGAAAAGAAAAAGAAGACTTACAACAACAGGTACTGAAAATTCTTCATTAAATTGAATCTTGCACTGCATGAATATTTTTTAAAAGCATTTTACATACTAGAGATTAGCTGGGATGAAGCATATTTGAAATTTGAAGTGATTTAATTATTAATTTATAAGTGTATTTGCAGTGTTGAACACTTTTCATCTGTCCTTTATTAAAAACTTTGAAATTTTCTTCATTTTTTATTTTTTTTTATTTTATCATTGAAAGCTTTATATTTTTATTTGTAATCAATAGATACGAAATAATATAAATAACGTTAGGGGTTAAAACTACCAATTAATTACAAAAGTAGAGCTTTTTACCTTTCTGTCAGGAACCCACAATCAGCGTATAATATTCCTCTTAGTAATTAAAATCAAATTTATTAGTATTGTATTGCCAGCAGGTGTTAATGTCCCCTCCTTCCCCAAGCATATCAAGGGTTCGATGTCAAAAGGTAAATTATTGAACTACTAATAATTCAATTTTATTAATTAATATTTACAAGATGAGCTTATCGACAGCTTTTTATTTACCATATTTATCTAGAATCATGCTTCTGTAAGAGTATCTAATTAATATATATATATTTAAAAAACGCATAATCATTACTGCTTAAAAATTCTTGTGTTAAAAATATTATCTTATCTTTATTTTTCATGCTTGGTGTATGACCAACACTATCAATTTTTTTTACAGAGTACAATTATAAATATGAAGATGACTTTTTTTTTATTTTTTAAGATAAACATGAGCATGTTTTGCATATTGATTTTTTGAAAAAGCTTAGCATGTCGATTTTTAAAATTTTCATTTCAGTATAAAAATAACTATAATTTATTATAAATACGTTAAAAAAAAAAATACATTTATTTTAATAAGAATAAAACAAATTTATAGGAATTATTAAATAATTCTTGTAATTAATTAACCACTTGATCTGCGTATTTAGATTGAAGCGGCGGATAAGCAATTACGTTCAACTCGTAAGTTCCTCGAGGAGCAAGCTAGTGAGCGTGAGATTGAACGCGACGATGCAGCACGACAAATACAAGCGTTACAAGAACATCTTAAAGAACGCGAACGCGAGAAGGAACGCGATTTGCGTATTTCATCTGAGGTAAAGTCCACGTAAAAAATGACATTTTTATTTTTCAAACACATCATTAATTTTATGAAGACAGTATAGCTTAACTCTCATTCAATCATTTTTTTACTAAATTAATTCATAAATTATTATTTAGGTTTTTAATCATTTATCATTCACGTATAACACAATTTTTTTAAATAATTTTTTTTTGCACACTGACACAAAAATAAAATATCTGTTTATAATTATAAGTTATTGTGGTGGTAATTAGAATTAAAATATGCTTTTGTGATAATTTAAGAGAGTTAAATTGCTTAGACATGTTCTATCATTTTTTTCATTCAATTGAATTATTTTTAATTCTATTGTCATTTAGTATAAAAGAGTTAATAAATTGGTAGAGCTGGCTGTAAATTTAACTCATCTTATAATAATAAAAATTTAACAATTAAGCTTATATATAACACGCACTATTGCTAATTTTATTAACACGAGTTTTTCTGCACTGTGGTCTTGGTTTTCTATTTGATACACACACACAAAAGCCGGCTTCACTGTCTCCTGAACCATCATTGGTCATTCCTACGCTTCAAAATTTTGATGGGGAAGACGTAAGTTTATATACTTATCAATATATTATTTTATTTTTTAATTCAAAGCTTATATGGTAGAATTGATCTTAAAAACTCTTGTTTTCTGAATGATTACTCCTTCAAACTGACTACGTGATCATAACACTGTATGTACTAAAATATATTCAGTAGTAAGCCGGTTATATATCTTAGAGCTCTCGAGGGAGGGAAGGACTAATTGCTTAAAATTTAATTAGTAGTAGTATCGGGTATTACATAATTAAATTGTATGGGATTAGTCCCTCCCTATTGGAGGCTTAATATTAGATGTAAAGTAGGGATTTATCTCTTGTTCCAATTAAAAGGCACAGTGGTAATCGTTCATTTGACAAGAGTCAATAAATTAATTAATAACAATAAAATAATTCAATAATGTAATTATTTTAATTACATGAACTTGAGTTATTAATTAAATACCAACTTAAACAATTGATATTTTTTTTTTACTAGGTCGAAGGATTGGAGCAACAAATACGTGAAATGTCTCAGACAATACAAGACTTGGAATCAAAGAAAACCGCTGTCGATGATGAATTAAAAGCAGCTGTTGATAAAATATGGGAACTTCGAGATATTATCGTGAGCTTGGAGGCCCAACTTGAATCAAAAACCGAGATAGAGAAACATTTGTTAAATCAAATTGAACAGAACAAGGAAATAATTTCCTCCCAGAATCAGCATAATCAGGAGTTGGCGCAAGAGTTAGAGGCTCTGAAATTGGGTGGTGAGAATACACAAGATGATCATATAATTCATTTGCAAGAAGAACTAAGAAAGCACAAATTAAGTACAGAACACTTTAATGTTAATTCTACGGCTTTGAGGCAAATGAAATCTGAGCTACAAGATATGCAAAATCACTTAGATAAAAAGACTAAGGAATTAGAAACACTTCATATGTGTGGTTCTAACTTGAGTATTAGTCAACCCAGTGAAGATGTTTCTATACGCGATCAAATTGACGCTACGAGATGTCCTACACCTGATGATCCTAATGCACCGCCTACTCTACCGCTTGACCAGCTTCTTAAATTAAAAGATAAATTGTTAAAACACACTCGAGCTGAAGAAGTCGCTCTCAAACGGATTAAAGACCTTGACATGCAATTATCTACTTTGAAAATTCAAAATGAGGTTTGTATTTTATTTTTACTTTAAAATTGTAAATAAGAAAATTTATTATTTTTTTTTTTTCACTGCAGGAGTTGCAAGCAGAGCAAGAAATCTTGCAGCAAACAAATTCAGAGCAGCTGTTTCAAATCGAAGCTATGCGCGGTCGATTGGAGCAGTATAAACAGAGTGCACCGTTTGCTCAACGACAAGCTACGTCACGTCTTGAATTACAGTTGCACGAAGTCAATACTAAAGTTCATTCAATGGAGCAGGAATTAGCTAACAAGGATCGTGAGCTACTCGACGTAAAATATCAGCTTGAACGTACGTCTCAGTTATTGCAGGATAAACAGGACGAGCTTTTTACAGTGGTACAAACGGAGAATGACATAATAAATGAGTTGAAAAATCGCGTTGAATATCTAGAGCAGGAAAAACGTGTGTTGGAAACTAAATGCAGTAGTCAAGAACGCGCGCAACAAGAATTACCGCAATTGATTGAGTCAATGCTCACTGACAAGAATGAAGAGATTGATCACCTCAAAGAGCAATTGTCGAAAAAAGAGAAGCAGTTTGAAGTATACGCTTCTTTACAGATGGAAGAAGGCAACCTTCAACGTGGTAAAAATGAGCCGAAAAACAGCGCAAGAACGTTGAGTGATATATTATCAATACACTCAGAGTGTGAAGAAATATCCGAAGCGATTCGTGAGGGCTCTAATGTTTTACATAACACCGCTTTGAATATATCTTCGGCAAAAGCTCCGGGTTCATTTGTTACAAATGATCAGCTTGACGGGTCATCTGTTCCGTTTATGGATTTACAAAAATCAGATTTAAGGATTCCACCACTTGAATTAAGCAGTCATCCGTACAGTTTCACAAGCTCTCAGCATGTTTCACAGCCGCAGTTATCTGCTATTGAATCAGTACACAGCGAAGGAGAATTTAATTCACCAAAGCGTAATAGTAGTGTTCTATCTGATGGAGCTGGAGGATCGACGAGTAAAAATAAACAGTCGGGTAGTTTGTCAAAGACGGATAAAATAACACCAACGCGCACCAAGTCAGTATTAGTAGGGTCTAGTTTATCACAACCGTGTATTGAAGATTTGGAAAATCAATTAAAAGCTATTCACAACGAGTTGCAAGCAAAATCGGCAACTTTGAGCAAACGCGAATTGGAACTCGATGCTTTGCAAAAAAGTCTTGATGAATTGCGAGCTGAATTTAAAGATTCTATTGATACGGTTACACGTGATAAAGTATTTTATAAAAATCAGTATGAATTATCGCAGGAGTCGGAAAAGAAAATTCGAAATGATTTGGAGGAAGTTGAAAATATACTGAAAATTCGTAATGAAGAGCTGGAAATTTACAGAGATAAATTACAATCAAATGAACAAGTACTTCACGAATTGCAGAATGAGAACGATACTTTGAGGAAAGATATTAGAAAAATATGTGACGATAATATGGCGTATCAAACGACAATACGTGAAAAAGTTCAAGAATTGAAAAATTTGAAAGATATTATTTTTGAGAAAGATATTACAATAGAAACTATTAAAACTCGTAATGTTGAAATTGAAAATGAGAATAAACAGCTGTATACTTTTAAGACTAAATTTGAAAGCTGTCGCAAAGATTTGATGGACAAGCAGAGTGATATTAAACGTTTGACTGACGGGTTAAATAGCCGGGATGAATTGATTCAGCGGTTGGAAGAAATGGCAAGGCGTAGGAGTTTATCTAACACTTATCCTATGACTGATAAAGATCAGGAGATTCATCATTTGCAGGAGTATATTAAGGAAAAGGATAAAGTAATAAAACAGATGACCGATGACAGTAAAAGTTTACAGCGTTCTTTAGAAACTATTCAAAGTAAAATAAAAGAATCTGGCAACTTTATCGAGCTAAGAAAAAAACTCAAGGAAGAAAGGATGTTTAATGATGAGTTGACTAAAATGGTGGCTAAGCTGAAACAAGAATTAGAAATTTTGAAAGACGAATCTGTTAGACAGTCATCGGAAGGCGCTGATATTGAAGATATGGTGCAGCGTGAATTGAATTTATCCGCTGATTTGGATAGAAAAATATTGGACGCCATTGAAAATGAATCTGAAGAATTAACGTTGGGTCGAAGAGTTGATCACGCTTGCAACTCAATTAAACCCTTCGAGCAAGATATTGAAAAAATAATGCAACAGTACTCTGATATTCGACGAAAATTAAAGCAAGCTAATAAATTGAATGAACAGTTACTGCATGAAAAGAATGAACTGGAGATCGAACAAGATATATTAAAGTCACAAATAATGGATTATGAAAACAGAATCCTGGAAATAAAATCAGATCTTGACGGTGAGAATAAGAAAAATATGGCTTTAGTTGAAGATTTATCGGTACATAAGATAATGATTCGTGATTTGCAAATACATGTACAAAAAGAAAAAAATAAATCACGTAGAACACAAATGGAAGACGCTGATATTATAAAAGAATTAAGACTACGTTTGACTACATCGTTGGACGTAGAGAAAGAATTAAGAGATAGTTTAGCCACTGCCAGACAAAATTACAAGTTGTTACAGGTTAAATTGAATAATCTTAAAGAAACGATAGAACCCGAGCGGTCGGCTAATATTTCTTCGTCGCCTGAGTTACAGGAAGCTGAGAAAAACGACTTGATGATGGCTGAAAAGTATGAGAAGGTTGTAAGGGAGCTTATTGAATTGCAAGATACATTAAAAATAAATCAAGCTGAGAAAAATCGTTATGAAAAGCAGCTGGAAATTGAGTTAGAGGAACGAGAACGTTTGTTGAGTCAAATAGCTCTTGTTGAAAGTAGCAAAGAGCATCTGGAGATTGAGTTAAAACGGACTAAAGAAGAGCTAAAGAGCTATCAAGACGAATCTAAATGGCTGAAGAAACGTTTGGACAGTGTTCTAGAAGCCGATGAAAAGAAACAAAGTCAGCGCAATGATGAACAAAATGAGTTGAAGAATTTGAGACACGAGCTTAAGAACACCAAAGAAGTGATGCGCGATCTGGAAATCGATTCTAAGGAATTAAAACGACAGTTGGAAAGAGCGCAAACCGAGCAAGATCAAGTGACTTATGTACTGGCTAACTTGAGGAAAAGCGAGAGTGCGCTTCAGAAGAAATTAAACGCTGCCAAGAATGATGAAGAACGTTTGAAGGAAGTGATTGAAGAGCTCCGGGCAGAACTGCAAGCTAGATTTAACAGAGAGCTAGAGTTGTCGAAGGGATTTTTACAAGAAAACTCTGCTGGAGATAAAAATATGTCTGCTAAATTAATCAATCAAATCAGTGAACTGACCAGTGAAAATGCAAGATACTCGCTTGAGAAAGGAGTTTTACACGATAAATTAATTAAAGCCCGGGAAGAAATAGAAAGACATGTCGTACGCGTCAAAGAATTAGAATTGATGTTACAGCATAGTGATGGAGTTACGTCTTCGCATGATAATAATCAGCTGTTGATGAAACTTCAGTATATTTATGCGAAATATATGCGTGTGGATAGTAAAAGAAAGGCTTTGGCTTTTCAAAAACGCTACTTACTCTGTGTCATTGGTGGGTATCAGTTGTCTGAAGATAATGCGAGGTCAATGTTGGCGAAATTAACTTCTGTGGAACGTTCATTCATATCTGAGCAGACACTCCATGTTGTAAAAACCTGTCCTAGAGCGCGTTTCAGATCGGCCGTATTGCTTGTTATTGGCTTACGTCGTATGAAATGGATGGTACAGAGATGGAGAAGTGGTAAAAGAAAACCAGCTCCTACAATGCTTACTCAATCAGATCAAACTTATCCACATTTACGAGTCCATCTCGCAAATCAGTTATTATCTAATAATAAGGATAATCCTAGACACAGTTCAACTACAGCTACTTCTACTTCCGCTAATCCTGATAATGGTAATCCCTTGGGAGGTATTGATTATGAATATTACGCTCAGCGATTTCATAACATCGAAAATATCCTTGGGTTGGCCATGAATGAAGCTGATTCCAATAATCCAGTGACTAATTAACAGTGTATTATAATTTTTGTTCTCTTTTTTAAATTATTTATAAAATTATATTAATTTAGGATATTATTTTTATATTTTGTACGAGTTATGATTTTTTTTTTTTTTGTAAAATAGGTAAAAATTATTCAATCAATTGTCTGCATTTTTTTAAAAAATTGACTGTTGATTTATTTTATTTAAACAATTGATTTATGTAATTAATAATTGTAATATGAAATTATAGTTGTATAGAGTGTCGTGAATTTAAAATTTACACAGACGTTCTTCCATTTTCATAGAAACACCAAAGTTCATTTTTTTTCTTAATATTTTTGATTGTGCTGCAAAAAAAACAAATTTATTAAAACTAAAATGTTTATATTAATAAATAGTTATAGCCATAAATAAATAATTATTGTTGATTAATCGAAATAATAAATGTAACTCTGTGCCTTTGCAACAGTTAGTATATATTCAGTATTTATTGTAGAATCTTTTTCTTTTATAACTGTGAATAAAATGTTGCCTTAATGTATAATTAAATAATTAACAAGTTGATAAATAAATAAATAAATAAATACATTTTTTCATTGACCAAATAATTACCGAGTATTTATTTGCAAGCGTAGAATAATAATAATAATAATAATAATAATAATAATAATAATACGTTCGTTGATATTCAGATTTTGTTCTCATTCAACATCTGTTTTTTGCGTTGTATTATTTAGCTTTGACGGATTATCTATTGACAATAGTATTTTATTGTTTAATGTCTACTTTCAATTGTACTGAGACTAATACTTGTTTATCTAAAGACCTAGTCTCGTGAAAAAGTGAGTCTACAAAGTTTTATTATCGATTGTTTTATTTACTTTCAGTTACTTCTAAATTTATGTTTTATTTGTCTAGTTAAGTGTGTCTAATAATTATACTAGACACGTGTAGTGTGATATCACACTCAAATAATAAAATTGCTCCGAGTAGTTATTTACATATTTACATCAATATAAGTTGTATGATAAAATATATATAATGAGTATCTATACACTCATTGTCAACATTTTTATAAAACATCATAGAGAAAATGTATAGTAGCAGAGATTTGTAATTTGTTTCTTTTTTTTTTTTTTTTTTTTTTTTTTTTTTTTTTTAAGGCGTTAAAGAATTTTTATCTACATTTCAGCAATAACTTAAATGTTTGATACATGTAAGCAATGCTCTTATTATTTCAATAATTAAATTAGTACCTGCGTAATAACTAGTGCATTGAGAAAAAAAAAAATAAATTTTCTACGGTTGAAAAAAAGAATTTTACATAAAGGTCAATGTAAAAAAAATTTTTTTACATTGACTTTATGGATATATATTGATTAAAAACTATAAATAACTTTCGATAAACTATTCATCACTTCAAACACTTTAAACACTACCTGCATGTTTACAGAGATAAAAATAAAAACAAAGTATGTAAAAATAATATTAAAACAATCAATGATTAAAACAAGCGTCTTTGAAATTAGTAGCATTAAAAGGTAGAAAATAGTCGTCATGCAATTGTCGTATGATCGCTTCAATAGGACAAAGTTTGTATTCTCTTTTTAAAAATTCGCCGTCGTCGTTTTTATCACCATAATTACCACTGTAATAATTAGAATTTTTACAAAAAGCAATAGTCTGAGTAACGTCTTTTCCATTAACAATAACGCGAAAATAAAAATCATTGGCAACGTGGTTCTCGTTTTTGGAATTAGCGCGACAAATTTCAATAATAAATCGGGAAGCGTAGTGCGGCGAAATGGCGTGATCAACAACAATCCCAAGAGCGCTCGCCAAGTACTCGAGCGTTTTATCGTGACCGGAAAACAGGACTATTTTTGGCTTTGATTCGGATATCATTTGTACCATGTGGGAGACAACGTTTCGCAACAACCCGTAAGCTCTCAAGAGTCCGTACTTGCGGCGATTTGAGCTCTTGATATTGAGCCTCGACTCCCATTCAATGTAAGCAAACAGCCCGGTAACGTGGTCTGTTTTAACACAAATACGCTGACTTTCGTAGTTTACACATGGAAGCGATGATCCGTGGCAAATGTATGTTAACAATGCATCTTTAAGGGTATCTGGATGCTTTGTTTGCGCTTGATCCGGCATTTCGAATACTACATTTGATGATTGTTTTATTAATTCTATTACCGCTGGATGTGATTTTAATCGATCGCTTGTTTCCTGAAAATTCATCATTATCATTATTATTAATTACTCCTTTGTATAAAATAATTTTTTTAATTGAACAAAAAAAAAAAAAAAAAAACTCCGTTACTTTTAATTAAAATCCATTACAAATGAGGTTTTAACAATTACCAATTAAGTTCTCTTATATGAGAGGCTCGTTGAACATTTTTAAAAATAAGTACGGATTGAATTTCAATAATAAATTTTTAATATAACTGGCAAATTAGTAAAGTGAAAATTGTGGTAATTTTTTTTTTTAATAATTATGCCTGCGTTAAATTAGAATAAAATGAAAAAAAGTCGAAATAAAATATTTCTATCTAATATATTAGTAAAGTATAAAATAATGATTACCTTATTGTATTGTTTAGCAAATTTTTCCGCAGCCGGACAAGCACAGTCAGTATTACAAAAAGTGAGACTGGAGCTTTCGCGCATAGAAATTTTTCCGAAATTTTGGAAGACTTCGTTCTCTAGCAAAAAAGAATAAAGAAGAGCTATGGCACTTTGTACAGTTCTACGGTATCTCGTGCTATATACAACAACATCTTTAGACAACACTGTGCTGTTACCAAGATTTAGTTTATTGTAATATGCATTTTTCAGTATCAGCCCCGTCTTGAGCAACTGGCCGATGCCCAGAGTCGTCAGCTCGCCTATTTTGCACTCCTTTACATTGTTAGGCAGCATAGGGAACCCGTGGAACGGGCCCAGGAACTGCGACCAAGCTGATTGTGTATACGCCGTTGAGTTTAATATGAAATTTTGGTAATTTTGGTAAACACTCTCAAGTTTTGGGTTTGAACTAAAGTCACCCGCACAATTAACCGTACTGATATTACGTATGTGGGATAATGGTCCGCGATCTCCGTGTCGTATAAATATAATTACTCCTTCCAATGTCAAGTTTCCATCGATTTTTCCTGTAAATATTGTAACATTTTATGTTTAATTAATAAATTTATTTATTTTTTTTTACCTTCAGATCCAATCTTGATGTCATCCGGTGGATTGCACAGTTTGAATATTCGTTTATTTTTAATATCTGGTTTAAAATGCCTGGCAAATTCCCGAACCGGTACATCGCTACTCAGTGGCTTGCTTTGAATAGAACTTTTTTCATTATTTCCGATGTACTTGTACATGCCTATAAAAAAAAAATTCCATTTAAGAATAAATGCGGTACTAAAAATAGCAGACTTTTAATAACTTTTTGTTTTTTTTTTTTTTTTTTTTTAAATAAACTTTACAATGAATAATTGCAAAATTATACACGCAAGAGATGATTTTAAATTGTTTTTAAATGAAATTAAAAAATTTATGTATTATTTTATTTATCTAAAAATAAAAAGTTTTACCTCGGCTATTTTTAAAGGTCACCCGACAATTTTTTTCTATTTTTAAATAAAACTGATAAATGGCAAATGTTAATAGAGTAAAATTGAAAAAAAAAATTTTTTTACTCTAAAATAATATTAGTGAAAAAATTGAATGATTTTTTAGTAAAAACCAAAAAGATATTTTCGGTATTAATAAATAATTAAGATAAATTACCAGCAACGAGAAGGAATATCCAAATACTGAGTATAACATAGCAATAAAAAGCACGATGTTGGTAAGAGAGCCGAACCATTTCTGTGAGCATGATAGTAATTAAAAAAAATATTTTTTTTTTCCAGTTCAACTTTCGAGTATGATGAAAATTTATTTGTTAAATACCGTCGACGCTTCAGCAAGCGTCTTGAGTAATAACAATAACAAGAACAATAAAGACAATTGGGCGTATGTCCTGGTAGAAAACGTGTCATCCTTTTATTATGTACCAAAATAATGCTGTTCCGGCATCTCCCGTTTTCGCAATCAATGCCCTCACACTAGGTAAAACCCAACTCGGAAATCATGAACCTGATTACTCGGTGCAACCACTGACAGTTACGTCTCGACACTTCACCTGCAACAGATTAGTTATTTAATTAAACTACTCTAATTAAATTACTGCGACAAATAGAGAGATAAAGTTATTACTTGTGTCAGCAGACGTCAATAGACTTTTATCGTGTCGCTAAGACACAGGTTACAGACCAGAGAGACAAGTGTGTGGTGATGCTAGTTGTCGACGAGGTGAAATTATCGGGTGGACTTGCGCAATTGTTCCTCAAGTAAAATTAAACTCAATTGCGCGTGCGTATTTTTTTATTTATTTACTTTTTTATTTATTTAAATAACACAAATTACGCGGGTTTTTTTTTTTGAAAAAATTTCCATCGATGTAATTTACATCTCGTTTGATTTTTTTTATTTTTTTCATTAATTCTACAGTAGAAATTAATAAAAAAATAAATTACGCGGTTGAATAATATATAAATTTTGTAGTAAACGCGTGATTAATATCAAATGATTAATCGATTCATTTATTAATATATTTTACAAATCAAGAAGGGCCTGAGTCTTGAGTGACTTGTACTACTGTCTGCTAATAAATTATCCCGGAGATTTATTATTAGTTATTAGTTATTACTGTTATTAGTTACCGTTATCGTTATCGTTGATGGGGGTATTATTATCGAAAGCTGGAAATAATTTGGATTGGATTTCAATTAAATGAGTATTTTGAAGGTGACTTATGACATTTGCAACTAAAATAAATAACGAATCTGAGGTCTCGGTGTGACGTACACGAGTCCTGTTGCTATTTTTAGAAAGCAAAGACGCCGAGGAGAAATAGGGATCGCTCGAATATCTTAATCTGTGATAGATATATTTTTTTTGGTTTGCTTTTTTATTTATTTGGGTAATTGGATGGCGAGGAAAAAAATATATAAAGAGATATATTGTCAATTAAACGTGACGTTTTTATATTCCCAATAGGTACCAAAGGCTTCGGTTTATGTAATATAACACATGATCATTTGACTAGATGTAAATTGTATGAGTGAGGAGATTCTCGTTGGTTAGTTGGGTTTCTTTTCAACCCTCCTGGGTTCTTGATCAAATTTTATCAATCGGTTCGTGATAATTATATTTATAGAATATGTGAAAAATTACTGAGGCCTTGATCTTAATACATTAATGCGTATTTTATTTTTAGAGAACAATTTTTATTTATTTATTAATAATTACTGTGTTGATTATTTTTAAAATATCAAGAGTTGTTGATGCAATTTTAAAATAAGTACAATTATGTGAAATTGGTAATTATTCTGAAGTGCCGCTCAAGCGATTCATTAAAAATTTTTTAATAATGATACTTATCATATTTTTTTTTCATTTTCTTTAACTTTTCGTGCTTTTTCAAAAGAAAAATTTTTGCTGGTAATTGTTCAGGAAAAACAGAGAAAAGCGCATTTTTTGTTCATTACAATTGAAAATTCGATAGGAAAAATTTTTTTTTTCTAATTTCTACTCAAAAATTTATTGTGAAGTCGGACAGAAAAAAAAATTAAAAAATTTTAATTATTTCCATGACCAATAATAAATAAAGTCTTAATTTGGCATAATTACCTTGGAATTCATTTTTCATCTTGAAAAATATTAATAAAAAATGAAAAAATTTTGATTAATATTTATTTAATTTAAATACCCAGGCGAAGGCCGAATATTTACGTTAAACTTTTCATGAAAAAATAATAATTTAATCATAAAAAAAAAATTACTCGTGATTCGTATTGTTTCGAACAAGAATTTTTCAATTTATTTCTACGAAAAACATTTATTTGTTAAATTTTTTCATTCCATCACAAATTTGATTAGAATGAAATACGTGCATAGTTGACAAAAAATTGAATAGAATTTTGAGTTCAGCATCACAATCAATCAAGCCACGAAGAATATTTTCTAAAGCTTATAAATGGAATAAAAATTCATAAATTAAATTACGCTGTTGGACTACAGTTGAGGCGGGTTGGAGAAAAAAGAAGTAGCCACCCACATCGACTACGGAGAACCCGTAATTATGTGTGCGTAACTCGTATATCGTACATGGTTAACTTGAGGGTTAATAATACATTCAACAAAATAGAAGCTCCGAAAAAAGCTCTAGGCAATAAAGTCCTTTAAATTCCGCAATTTTGGATTCTATTTTTATCTCTATTTACAATATATATTTTTATACTTTTATTTTTTCGCCTCATTCATAGAACGCTTTGGGAGCAATTCGCTCGAAATGGATAACCATGTGTGTACTTACACCTTGTGCAAAGTGTCCGAAAGAGAGATAGATATTCTATATATCTATCTATGTGTTTAGTTTTATATTTGAGATTATGTGTGCGTTTTATACTATCTACAGACATAAAATGCAAACGCCTGCGCGGGTATCAAACCGCGCACTATATAAGGGCGCCAACCGGACTCCAACAGCTATTCACACTCGGAAAGTCACATCTCCGGGTTTATAATTATTTATTAAAATTATCAATCACAAATAAATAAATAACTTTATTCATAGAGAAAAACATTTGAGTCTGAAAAAATAAAAAAATAATTTTATTTATAAATAATTTTTTTTTCGTTTCAAGATGATCCTAATTAGAAGACGCTGTACGAGTTTATTGCTTATTTTTCTTGCAATTGTCGTTGATCAACTTCAGATACCTTTGGTAAGTCATTTCTTCAATTATTTTTATTAATTTTATTTTTTGCATGCTTTATTACATATTAAATAAATTTTTATAATTTAAAAGTAATTTTTTTATCAACTTTTTAAATTAAAAATTTGCACGTTTTATTATTTTTATTTATTTTATAAATTATAAAAATTTTAAAATTAAAAAACTTTTTTAAAACATTGCCATTTATAATAAATTTATTTTTGCATTACAAAAAGTTTTTCCGTAGTCTAAATTTATAAAAGTTATTTATAAAATATAAATTGAATTTATTTGTCGTATAAATACTTGTGTAACATGTAAATATAACAAAAGATTATTAATAGCTGGATATGTATAAAAATATGTAAAGCAAAGCGAGAAAAGTTTATGTGCAACGTAATTAAAATCGTGTCTTTTACCAGAATCGACGTGTACGTTTTCTGCTAGTTTTATATATGTATCGTCTGCCGCAGACAGTTCCATATTTTCAATGGTTTTTCATTCTGTCTAATGACATTTGAGTTGCAATTTAAAAAAAAAATGAATATAAATTCTTCTTTTAATTATTAATTACCATAAATTTTAAGTTTTTACTGAATTAAAATTTCCATCATTGATAATTAATTTAAATGAAAATTTAATTAAAATTTTTTTCAATTTTCGAGGTATGAAAAATTCATTAATAAAATTATTTTTTCATTTTATTCATTTCGAACAATTTTAATATAAAGTGATATTGAAAGTAAAGAAAATAGAATACTTTATGCAAAGACACTTTGATAGACATACATTTGGCTGGTTATCGAAGCGCTTGGATGTGGATTATGTATCCTTTTACCGGTGACATTCAAGGGATTTGATATAACTCCGAAATGATCTGACGTCATTGATAGTTGAGTTATTTACTGAGAAAAATTCCTTATTTTAGCCAGGGATTTATCTGAAATTCATTTCCACCCTATATATAAATTATACCTTTTATTGTACTTCTATTCCTATTCGTTGACAATCATATTGTCCAATTCACTCAGAATAAATCTCCTTTTGAATCGAGTCCAAAATAACTGACGATGAAAACACAAATACGGCAAATCCACCCATCATTATTTCGGTTCTCTAAATCCTACGCTTCTTTTCGATCATTATAAATACTCAGATCCTTTCAATAGCACGAAAAATCTATTATTTTAGATTTTACTCCCTACAGATAAACATCTTGCCTATTATTTTGTTCCGTATAGTTGAATTTATAAATTAATTGCAGGTATGCTTTTTTTATTTTTACCCCGTATACATTCTTAGCGAGCTCAACATTCCGCTGTTATCTAAACTTCTCAAGAATTTTCCTCTTACAGTATCATAAACGTCATGTAAAGCCAGAATTCTCTTAGAGAACTATTAAAAGCACTCATGAAGTAACAATTGCTTTATCTTACTCACTGTTTAATGTTCCAAAATATTTTTAGAACTTGAAATAATTTAAAAAATTAAATTTTTTTTTTCTTTAATTAAATCCACTTTTTTTTTTTTTTTTTTTTTTTTTTTATGAGTAATACAAAATCACAGAAAAATTCCAGAAAGTACAAAGTGTAAAACAAAAAAAAAAAGGTTACATAAACTGAGTAATTTTCTCTTCACAAAACGATTAATTAAAATTACAAAAACAAAGCGTAAATTCTTTTAAAAAAAAATTCATATAAATGCACGAGATCTCATGAGTCCTTCGGAACGCAGAAGCGACTCCAAAAGAATTCAATTGACGTCGAGACCTGTTGCTTGTCTTTCAAGCTGTCGATCCTAGCTAGCTCTTTGATGAGCTGAGGGTTTTGTGTATCCGGCAAAGTACACTTACACATCTTTCTACTTAAAAAGCTCTCTTAAATACAGACGGATGGATCTTCTTCGTCAAGCTAAATTTAACAAAAAACATTAATAATCTCAAAACTAAAACTCTTAAAAATTTAATCGCTTCTTTCTTTATCGCAAACTTCCATTATACTTACACTTATATTACCTTACAAGTGATATAAATACATATATATATATATACTTATACCATCCTGTAACATTTACTACTCTCTCAGATTTCTTTTATACTGAGCTTAACAAGTTAACTTGAAATTAATTATTAGAGTCTTTTAAAACTTTTTCCGTAACCTCGATAATAAAAATTAACTCAATAATTTACTATAAATTTTTAATTTCTTACGTCAATTGATAAAAAATCCATATTAAAAGGCTCTTTTGCTCGATACTAAACCGATTATCGAAGCGTCTAAGTATATGTATAGGACAAGGGGTCTATATTATACTGTAATTACCTGTTCATTTTTTTTTCTTCAAGTTTATTCTCTTTAAAAATACCCAACGATTTTAGGATATATTTTAGTTTATGAGGCATTTAATGAAGATAGTTAAAATTGTTTTTTGTAGTCCCATTAACAAGGCTGTATATTGTCTAACAGTGTAATGTTACCCTTTTAGGAAATTTTCTATCGGCCAATCATCGATATTTTATTAGGTACTAAAGTGGATTTTAAATTAAATTACCAAACTAGCTATGAAAGTTTAATTTTAGATTGAAAAAAATAAAAGTTCACAATCACTTTTTCAATATGATAAATTTAAATAATAAATAATTATTAAATTGAACAATCGACATTGAACATTGGAGTAACAATTTAATTTTGAAAAATTTAAATGAAGAAAAAAAGCGACAATTGTTTATTATTTAAACAGATAATATTAATATATTTTATTAGTTTGTAAATGGAATTTAATTTAATATTTGATTAGATGGTATTGAGGGTATATATACGAATAAATTTAACCGGTTGTAGCTTGTATCTGCGTTGGAAGTGACAGGCGATATCTAGGCTGACAATTCGTCGAACAAAAGACACTGTGAGGTAAAAGCTTTTCTTGCAAGCTCCTTCTGAATATACATTAAATGCTAGTGTACTTTCATAAACAATGCTCTTCGATGAGGATATAGACATCGTGCGGCTGCCTTTATCAACCGCGTTCATGAACACATATATATATATATATTACTTATAATATACAGTAGTTTTATTAACTCTAACAGTCCTGGAGATTTTTTATTGCTTATAGTGTTTTAATTAAACTTTTTTCTTTCTGTTATAAATTTAAAAATCATTTTTTTGAGAAAGTTTTAATGCATTTTTAATTGAATTTTAATTATCGGAAAAATAATTGTAAATAGCAATTTGATGTCTGATTGCAGTTATGTAGTCGAAGCTTGTTCAAGCAGAAAAAATGAAGTATTGAATAACGCGACGAATAACAGAAGTTATTTTTTTTTACCTTCAAGACGTACTTATACCCATTATGTCGCTGTCAATTACTTATCGCGTGAATTTAATATAATAAAAATCCTTGATTTCTGGATGATCTAGCATCTATCGATTACAACTAAATATTATAAAATATGAAAGACACCGAGAATAAAATACCTGATGCCGTTTCATTCAATTTTTTGTATGTATTTTATATCATGAATTTATTTTGCAGTAAAAATTTTAATAGTTTATTATCCTTTGATCTTATTTTAACAATAGAAAAAATTTTCAAGTGACATTTATTGTCAGATGATTCTTGACGTGCATCATTATAATTTTGTGAAGTGCTGTAATGTAAGAATGTTCACAATACTTTCGCTTACTCTCTATCGTCGATTAGTTCTTTCACAAAATATTAATTGTAAAGCTTTCACTTTACTTTGATCAATAATGAACAAAAAAATGGAAGAGAATTTGTAAGAAAAAAATTACTTTTTTTAAGTAAGTAAGATATTTATTGTTCAAGAATACATACAGTATCCATACAATTGGTTAGAGATGAGCATCCAATAGATAAAAGAAAATAAAATATAATATAAAAAGATAACAATTAATTATTTATACTTTAACGTCGATAAAAAATAAATTTAAAGATAAACTAAGTAGTTTACATGGACAGATATAGAAATATTTATATACAATATATAGTTATTCATTTAAACAGAACGCTCTAAGGCGGCAGCAATATTTGGTAAAAAGAAAGAAGGATTTAATAGTTTGAGAATCGCAGCAATTTAGAATTTCAGAAACTTCCAGGCAAGTCGAGTTACACTTCTTCAGGTAATACGATCGATATGGATTTAAAATAGGGCAGGCGATAATGAAATGCTCCAAGGTGTCCAGTTCCCCAGAGTTACATATTGGGCAGGGCTGAGCGGGGTTGAATTTGAAGCAGGATTGGTCCACAGTGAAATGATGATAGTAATTGTTGGCTAGTCGTGCTTGCATGAACGTTTTTAGAGCTTGAAAATGGATCCTCTTGTTAGAAAAAAATTACTTCATAAAATTGTAGGAAGGAATAATGAGACATTTTTTCTCCAAGGTGTTTCTTAATTATACTTATAATCATGATTTATAAAAAGAAAATTAGATAGCTAAAAAATTTGTTGAGATAGTGATAATTTTTTTTTGACGAAAAAATCAGAGATAATATTTTTTCGGCATTTTTTTTTTCCAGGAACTCAAGAAGTAGGGCTTTTAGTAGAATGATAATAATGTCGATGTGATATCGACAATAAATTCCATATAAAACCTTATTATTAACGGTCTACTGAATCCAATGGTTCTTGTAGCTAATGTGAAAAAAAGTCTCCTTAATCATCAGTACCGTTGATCAATAATATATATTTCTGATTCGGACAATACTGTCAATTAATTTTTCTGCTCTAGAGGCTTGGGCTTCTGACATTTCTTACATCTACATAGATAAAAAAAATATTTTTCAATTGATATTCTGCAAGGGCGAAAAAATATAAAAAATTGTTACCTTGCGCTGCATATAAAAAATGAGTCATATTATAATTTAATAAATTATTGAAGCAATTGAAACAATGCAGTATTTTTTATTAGAATAAAAATAAAAGACTTAATTAGTAAACCAAACAAAATAAAATTAACGTGACAACAAAAAGACACAAATTAAAAAAGAACTATTCTATTAATTGTACTCCACAACAATATTGTTTTACAATGCATATGCATTAGCGTTGTTTCGCAAGATAGTGAGTATTCTCTTGACGTAGCAGTATGTATTAACAGCACGCCTCTTTACAATACAATATTAAACTTGACTAACACAATTTTATTTCATTTCAATGTTTCTTGTTATACCCAAATTGTTTGGCTATCTGCATTGAACTTGAAAAAAATCGCAAAAAATACTTTAGCATTCATTTCTGGGATTTTACTTTTTCAACTTATGTTACTAAATACTATTCAAGCACCAGCTTATTTTTTCGCTGGAAAAAATAAAAATAGTACAGATTATATCTCGATCCATTATTTAAAAAAAAAAAAAACTTTAGAAGGAATTATAAATGGTTATTCAATATTTATAAAAATGTCAGAAATGATAGTCGGATGTCATGCGAAGAAGGGTAATTTATTACTAAACGTGAAATTCAGCAACATATGGTTCGTGCAAAATCATCTACGTGTTTAGTTTACACTACTGCAGCGGAATATGAAGCAGCTTCCTCTTTTCCTCCATATATATATATATATATATATATATATATATATGTAAATTTTGTTTGTGTATGTTTAACCGTGTAACGATTCGTCATTCGCGAAAGCTTAGCCGTTTAGTCGAAAGATCCGGAGCTTTTCGGGTTTCATAAATCACGAGGAACTCTGCTGTACCAGAACGCGTGGGATGAATTAAAATCCTCGGTATGCATGTTACATATATATTACACTTGTATACATTCGGATAATAATTTAGATTATTATTGTATTAGTACGAGTGTTCTTGTAGTGCAGGTTGTACACTCACGTTCTAAATAATTTAACATTCTGCATTATTAACTGCACTTTTATCTTTCCATTATCATTTTTTAAAATTTTTAGTATCCTACTGACATAATTATCTAATTAAATTTTTTCATTTTTTATTTTTGTTAATATTAAATTTTAAATATGAAAATAAATAATAAAAATATTTATTTTATTAAAGGTCAGAAAATTAAACTAAAGTCCGGTAATTCCAGAGCCAAAAACCCTAAAGTCAGCGTTGCGAGTTGTAAATTCAAAATTAGTTTGTCTTCTACCACTAATTATTTCCTCTAATTTCACGTCTCATAACGCGGAGCTTGTAATCCTTTTTTAAGAGCTACATTTTACTCGTTACGGAATTCACTCTTATAACTCTAATCTTTCATAAAATAAAAACGACTACACCCGGCTTATATAAATAAAAATAAAAATTACGCGCTCTTAAGATATAAAACCTTATAAGTATTTTTCTCATGATTTTTCCTTAATTCTCTTGGAACCGTATCCATTTTATTGAATTTATTATCGACAATTAAAAATGAAATAAAATAAAATTTGTGTAATTTTAAATCTGAATATTTGTTTGTATCATTAAATACAAAAGAACCCTTTTATTTTTACAGTTCAATAAATTCATTCACTATAAATTTCTCGCGGAATTTCCAGATGACTTTTTATCCATCAACATATATTTTTTTCTTTTCATATAACATTTATAACTTTATATAAATTAAAATAGCGCGAGAATGACGCTCGACAAATGTTTAAATTAAAATACAATCTTTATAAATGCCCGCAAAGCAAATTTTTTTATTCATCTCAACAAATTGAATCCTTTGAGAAATATTTATGTTTTATTAGCTAACAATTGCAATAATAATATTAAATTCTGTAATTTATTGTTCATAAAAAACTATATAATTTATATTGCAGGCCTGGGTAAGATTTTTTCCAAGTATAAAACCATTTTATATTTTATATTGCTTCTTGTCGTCGTCACGATTCAAGTGATTCACGGACTTGGCAACCGTTGATGCGAAAAAGTGAACTTGCGACTAAATAATATAGTAATAGTATACTATTTTTTTACGGAAAAAAAATTGGGAAAAATATTTAGCTCTACGCTAAAATAATGGATAAAAGGCCCAGTGAATTGAGAAATAAAAAGATTATACCCTCCTATCCGGCGGTTTGATATATATTAAATAAGATACCTTTTTACTTATTAGATTTTATTGTTCTTCTGGAGATTCAACAGCTTGACACTGGAATTCATTTTATTGGAAAAGTATATAGGTGGGAAAGAGAATTCCTTCCTTCTTATACATACGTGGGCATATATACGTACTATATGGAAGGGAAAATGTCAAATGTAATTGGGTGTCTTTCAATTTATTATTTAATTTCTTTGACAATATTTATTGACAGTTGATTTTCATTTGATTAAAATTTATTTATATGAATTTTGATTGAATTTAAATTGATTAAAATAAATTTTTCTTGTAACTAATTTTCGATTTTACTTAAAAAATTTTAAAAAATCAAATTTATATTTATCATATTTAATTAAATTAATAATTTTTTGTGGTGAATTATTTTAAATGCCATAATTAAACGCTCTTACACTGTGATTAAATTTAATGAGACAAGGTTTTGTCATTTATCTCATGACACACTCTATTATAAATTAATTGCGTGACCTTTATCCCGTAATGAGTCATCATATAAACTCAACATTTGAGCATTCGCGAATTTATTTACCTTTTTGCGCTTGAAAATCAAAACGAATAAACAACTATCGAATTAAGTGGTATCAATTCAATAATTCCACGCATATAATTTTTATTCTACATTCAAGCATATATACAATTAAATATATACTCTGGGATATATAATACATGTCCGAATACAAAAGCGTGACATTAAAATAGTGGGCTATAACCCACTTGGAATATCATATAAAGTAAAATGGTAAATAGAACCGTTGGAACGTGTAAAATTCAGTGGAGTTTGTTTAGAAAATATTAAGAGGGTATGACACGAATCTAAATTAGGAGAGTAATTAGTTTTGGGCAATTAATTGGGTTCGTGTCATTGCCATGTACTGTCGGTGTCACTAATTTTGAGCTGCTTTGTTCAGCTGAAGAAATTTTATTTTTTTTTTGTGAGAAACTAATGAATTGTTAAGAGTTAACATTAAATCCACCAATTAATAATTATATTTTTATTTTTCTTGTTAATTTTATGATATCAAGTTTTATGTCGTGGTGCAGAATGTAAACGATAATTAATTGAGCTTTCCTGGTACTACTAGTACGGAAGCAATTAGCTTCCTACGTGTAGTTTTTATACGACAGCAAGTGCTTAATCTTTTATTTAATTTGTATTTCGTGGGTTTTCCAAGTAGGTGCAAGCCACCTAATATTTGCGCTTCGAATTCGCGGTAGTCGTTAATCATGACTTATCTTCCGTGAGTGGGCTTACGCTACTGACGACAAAGGATTAATTATTGATTAATTAAATAAATTGGGTATTAGTATTGAGTTGATTATTAAGAAGATGATTTTAAATCAGTTTTTGGTTTTGTTTTAAGTGTTAGATAAAAACACTAATTATTGACGGAAGTTAAATTACTATTATTATTATTATACAGAATTATTTTTATATAAATTAAAAAATATGATTGAAGAAATTTTGGTTGATCGATTTTTTAATATTTTGAATTAGAATATACATCATTTAAGTATCCAGCATTAAATTTTAGAAAAATTATCAAAAATTTAATAGATGAGGCAGGACAAAATTATAGAACCCATAAAGTGTTTAAAATTACTTTCAATGAATTGAGTTACTTTTAGTAACCCGGTTCGTCTGATTATATTTGTAATTTTTGAATTAAATTATAAATTAGGTCTTTGTAATTATTAAATAAAATGATTTAAATCAATTCTAATAGTAAAATTTTTACTCCAATATAAAAAAAAAAAATTAAACTTTGAAAATAAATTCAGATAATTAAAAATCATTAATTTAATTATCAGTTAAAATGGTTGTTGTTTTTTTCCTAAAATATAAATTTTTAATGCCAGAACATTTTATTTATTATTATTATTATTATTAATTATATTGAGGATATTAAATTAATATCAATAGAAATTTTAATCCAATTTTAAGTTTAAAGTTCTTAAATATTGATTGATATATTGCAGGTAACATGTCAAGAAGAAGAGGACACGCAGTGCTTGCCGCGGAAAACGTTTCTAGCGTTCCTTCGACTGCCGGAAGTTAGCTCGAACTTGGCAGCATATTCTCGATCCGCGCGCATAATACAGGACGGAAGAAACGACTTTATGCATTTGAAAGCTCTGAGCACAGAGGACATGAGCGACGACACTAAAATATGTTTGCCAGCGGAAGTTTACTTTGAAATATTCAGTGATCCGACAATGCGTGCTCACTTGAGTGTAATCGAGCGGGCACAGAGAATGGTCGAGGACCCGGAACACGATTATACTAGTTTTGAAGCTGAGAAGAGGAGTATCGCAACTCTCGCCAAGAATGACGACTTGCCCGCTTCTATTCAGGAACGTTATCAAGGCGACGATGTCGATGATGATGAAAAACGAAGTCAGTCTAGGTAAATATGTTTTCTTATTAAATATTCGAATTTTATGCAATGTAGTTCAGAAGTTTAATCGATTTAATATTGAATATAATTTCATTTTTGAATTCCAAGCGTTTCTAACTTTTATGAATAATAATAATAATAATAATAATAATAATTTTTTAATTTTTTGTCTCGGAAAATTTCTTGTAACAATTCAACAAATGTGTTGATATAAATTCCTAGACTTCCGAACGGTAGTTTCTTATGTATAAATCAGAACTATGTGCTGAAATGTCATAGAGGAATTTTTACGTCATGTAAGCTTTCTATTTAAATTTGGTAGAAGTTATTTAAATATAATTTTGAAACACTAGCAAATTTTTATTTTTATGAATAAAAATAAAAATTAATTATTTTCTTAAAAAATTAATTTTATACCATACTGAAAAAAAAAAAAAAAATAAATAACTCGATTCAAGACAAGAAATTTTGAAACAAGAAAATTATTTTGTAATAAGAATCAGGTGAAAAGACCATCAATAAATTTTAACACAACTATTCGAGGTAATTTTTTATTGCTTGTAATTTTATTTTATTTGTTATTACGGCTGTCCAATTTTAAAACACAGTAGCTGCAAAATTTTTATATCTGATTTTTTTTTAGTATTGATGCATTTCTTATAACTTGTAGACCTTAATTTCAAGTATTTTTTCTTAAAAATATTGATACTCAAATACTTTCTATTCATAAATCGAATTTTTTATGAATTTGACATGCAAGCTTTTTTTTTAATAAGAAAAATTTTTAAAAATCTTAAAATTGTCAGTCACTGTGTTTTGAAATTGGGCAGCCGATTTAGTTGATGATGTTTACGGATCAGTAATATTATTGTATTTATATAATTTTTTAAATGATTGTATTAATTTCTGTTAAAACTAGATACCTGAGGATGTTGGAATAAAACCGGCGAAACGTCGTATAACGAATAATTAGGTCATAAATTTATTGATGGTCTTTTCACCTGATTCTTATTACGTAAAATTATTTTGAATAGTTTGATAATTTTAGATCAGTTTAATTCAAAATAATGGAACTTTTCAAAATTATTTCTTTGGTTCAAGATTATTTATCTTGGATCAATTTAATTATTTTTTTTAGTTAAAATAAAATTTTATGAAAAAAATATTTAAAAGGTCATGAATTTTGGATACAATAATTAATATAATTATTTAAATTTTAAAGTATGACTGCAGAAGAAATATTAAAATTGTACGCCGGACACACACCTGAAGAATTGGGAAAAAGCGCAGAATCGATAATAACCGCCTACACCCTTCCAAGTGGAGAAATAGACATCGAATCGCTGTCACGTGATTTCCACAACGCAAAACGTAACGTCGGAGCTCTGGCTCGTGACTATGCATTGCCGTCAGGGCGAAGAAACAGAGCATCCTCAGATTCAGACTCCCAGGAGTCATCTTCAACCAGCAACAAACGTAACATCGCGATGCTCGCACGGGACAGATTGCTCCCGAAGGGCAACAAGCGGAATATCGGTTCACTGGGACGCGTGTACATAGTACCTTCTTATCAAGGGAAACGGAACATCGGGGCCCTCGCTCGCGACTCAATGCTGCCCATGGGGAAACGGTACCTCGGCGCACTCGTTAAATCAGGCGGCTACCCTTACATCTACAACAAGAGAAATATCGCTTCGTTAGCTAGAAACGGGCTGTATAATTACGTTAAACGCAACATTGGAACCTTGGCCCGCGACTGGAACTTACCGCAGTCGCGGCACAGCCGTTCTTTGAACGAGAAGGAGTTGGGCGCAGCGCGGATCGATTTAGATAATTTGCAGCGGATCGACTCGGCAAAACACCCAGAGGATCATCATCATCATCATCATCATAATCATGAGCTTGATTTTAATAAATTGAGAAAGGGGTCGAAGGTTAACAAAAATAAGAGTATTTTGGAGAGCGAACTGGTTGACGCTAAAAATAAGACACGCAACAAAAGACAAATTGATTATTCTGAAGAGTATCCGCTGCCTGTATTGCAAAACACTAATGTGTTAGATTATGACGATTTTATGGAGGCACTTATCGCTGGGTATCCGATCGCTGAAAAAAGATTTATGGGTAAGTTTTATTTGTTTATTTATTTAACTTTTTTTTTTTTTTTTTTTTTTTTTTTTTTTTTTTTTTTTTTTATTCAAAATAATGGATATCTATTGAAATATAATTACAAATTACAAATATTGACAGAAGTAGAAAATATTAGTTTGGAACATATTCAGACATGCACACTTCGAACGTGCTTAAATAAAATAACGAATATAATTTAAGATTAATTAAAATTAAAATAGACTTTTATAAAAAATTGTGATAAATTTTTTTAATTTTTTACGCGAAAAAAATTAATTTTTGAATACTTAATTAAATATTAAAATCAATTAATAAATTAAACTATTTTTATTTTTGAAAAATTTGGAACGTAATTTTTTTTTCCATCAAAAATAATTTTTTGAACAATCTTTTTTTGATAAAAATTTTTTTTTTTTTTTAATAAAACATAATTTAAAATCACTTTTTGAAGATGATAAAGACTCAGCGTTCGAGGTGTGCAATAATAATTATCCTGGTGAAATTGGTAAATAAAATGTTAGGAGCAGGTTCTGAGTCTTCGGAGCGGCACGAAAACGGGGATGACAATGACGACGGGACAAACGATGATAAATCAATAAACCAGTCTCCGATGGGTTATCAGGACGTGTATCAACCAAGTAAGAGACATATCGGCGCTCTGGCACGTCTCGGTTGGCTACCATCCTTCAGGGCAGCACGATTTTCGCGCTCTCCGCGATATCTGGTCGGCAGGTCAGACCAGTAGGCTTTCCATACCGTGTTCGCCCACTTAACCACATATTGTCCAGTTGTAACACCACCTATACAGTTAAACAGACATTTTATAAATAGCATAAATAAAATCACATTCAATTAAATCCTAATCTTGATCTGTGCGCTATCGATGTCTAGAACACACAAGTAGAAGCTAAATCACCACTCTCTGTCCAATAAAAACTACCAGTTGTCTTATTCTATTACTCCAACTAAATAATTAATTTATACAATTCAATTTACTGTGTTTATCAACACGTCTATCAACGTCAACCTGTTGGCCACTAAAAAACGTCCAACGAAGTCGACACGGTAGTTAGATAGGTGTTTCAATGTCTGACTAAATGTGTACATATTTGTTTATATCTCTCGATCCATCATTATCAATACCAGTAGACCAATCCGTGTTCTCACTCATCAACATTAACTTTATATATAATTATAAGACCTAGATGCAATTAGATTGTCACGATCATCAGCTATTTGTAGACCACTGTTGTCGCTATCAATTTTTTCTAAGCCTTTATATTTATTCATTATTTTTACTCATTTTAAATAATTTAATATTACAACTTAACCGTAGATCCTCTGGCTGTTTGTGTCGTTATCTTCCTCTCCCTTAGAACCTTTCAGTGGGTAATGGGGGTAAAGGGTGGTCGTCGTAGTCCAAAATATTATTATTTTATTATTATTGTTAGTTATTTTATTACTGATTATTATCAACAGTCTTGTAAAAATTTTTTTGGAATAGTTTTTAAAAATTAAGTATAAAAAATCTTTTTAAAATTTATTGATTAAATAAAATAAAATTATTTTTATCATAATAAAAATTTACTACTGAAATAAAAATCAAGATAAATTAAAAAAATTTTACAAGACTATTTTAAAACATTAGTTATAGTAAAAAAGCCAGGATATTTTTTATAAACTTAGAAGCTTTTAAAAATTTTAAATTATTATTGTGAAACTCATAATTAAATGTTGAATTTTTTTATCTACCTCTCTACACTCTGTACCATCTGCTGTCTAGTCTCTATACGTTATTGTATCCGCTTGAGGTAAGCTTGACGCAAGCTGGCAATGCAGAAACTCCAATATTAAATTTTTCTCTTTTACTTGCAATCAATATTATTATTTAAAAAATTCAGCAGATGGGTACATTGTTTGTACCAATAAATAATCGCTTAATAATTAATTAATATTACCAATAATTTTTTTTATTAATAAATGTTTTTATTAAATTGCTGTATTTTGTATTTTATTGTTAAATGTTCCTGTTTATATATTTTATAATATTTATTAAGTAAAGTTATTTATTATTATTATTATTATTATTATTATTATACTTATGAAAGATGTTATTTACGAAGATTTCTAATATTGGATTTGAAATTCCAGGCAGGATTCCTCAGATGGGCCCTCGACCAACAACTCCCCCAACTCGCCGACTCGGTCGTTAGACACGTGGAAAAGACTGAGAACCCGCGACATGCACTATCAGAACTACCAGGGTTATTGTCGACATGGCTTCAGAAAATACCTATCATCACCCTCCACCGATGATGATATTATTTATCGCGCTTCTTTAAATGATAAATAAATCTAAATTTTATTGCATTTTTAATAAGTTTTTTTAATTGCTCAATTTTTATTTTCAATTGCTCAATGTAATACTTTCATTAGGTTTTCTAACACTTGCTATTTAAATTTACTATATAATATTTTTCTGTAGATAAAAATAGCCATAGCCATTGATTTATTTATAAAGCGTTGGTGTTAAAAATCGGAAATTTAGTCATTCATAAATAAAAATAATAACTAAAATGTAATTAATAGTGTCATATAGATGAAACTTATAGTCACAAATAATTTTATTTTACTATTAAATGGATATATAATATATAATTATAAAAATTCAATTGCACTGAGCGGGTTCTCTGATATGATGATAGATTAAAGAGTATGTGAAATCGTTGGAAAAATTTTTACATGTACGTGGTTAATGGTATAATTATATTTAAACATTATCTAAGATTTTCAATAAAAAATTATTTCGATTTTAATTATACTATACTATTATTAATGATAATTATTAAAATTATAAAAAAATAGTGGATTAGTAGAAAAGAAGCTATTTTATGGTAACAGGTCATAAACTTACGGAAAATTATTTATAGTGAACATATGTTCCAAATCAGAGTATTCCGTGAAAAATATCTTTAAAAAAGGTAAACATATTGAAAAAAATATTTCACTATTTTTAGAAAATGATCGAATGAATAATCATTTTATTTTAATTACTCAAAGCGGAAAATTTTGAAACAGTGATACTTGGAAAGATTTTTTTATGCTAAAGATCTGAGGCTTTATTCTTGGATCATGTACCGCGACTATTTCTGTGAATTTCAATTCTTTATGGAAATTCATATAAATCTGTTGAATAAATTTCGAAATCAATAATTCAGAGAAAAAAATTTAGATGGAAATTCAATAAATTTTTATTTTAAAATATTTTTATCAGAAAGTTTATGACCAGTTGACTTTTTAATACTATAATTAATTATTGTCCTAACATCTTACAATTGTAACTGTAACTATCAATTTATATATCATTAATGACATATCTTTATTATTATTATTATTATTATTTTAACTATTTATTAATTTTCCGACCGTGATAATTATAATTCTTTTAAACCCGTTATACTAGCAAAAAAATGACCGTAAAGGCAGGAACGGGTTTAAAAGAATTATTATTGTTATTATTGTAATAAAAAGTCGCATATGAATTTTCCTTGTCAATTTAAATAATTCGAGTGGAAAATTTGAAAATATGCGAATGCTTTAAGTTCGATAAAAATCAAAGATCTGTTTAGATAAACCGAGAATTTTAATAAACTCGATGAATTTATCGCCTAACAATAAAATATAAAAACTAATATTTAAGGAAAACATAAATGTCAATTTTTTTCGGCTACTGTAGATTTTTTCAAATAAGTAGTTTAGAATAAACTCTACTTATTTGATATACTTAGACTCGCTAATTGTTTTTATGTGGAAAAAAAGCTCGTGGAGGAAAATAAATGAACGGATAAGTTGATGTGCAAATATTGTATAGATTATATTATTACGTGTAATATTGTAACATTACAACTACAATTCTTGGTGGCTGAATTGTCGTTGTAATTGATAATGCTTGGAATTTTTCGTATAATATTATTTTGGTATCATTGCTGTGAATGACATATAAAATGAAACAAGAGAACAAGAAAATATAAAACTCTAGATTGATGATTATTTTGAAAAACTTATAAATAACTATATATGCATACACATTTATTAATATTAACATTATAAAAAAATCTATAAATGTATTAACTGTGTGACTATCATGTCTTGACAATAATAACATTAATCTGATGACAATAAACTCGATAATAATTATTGGCACTATTTAAAATAATATTTATCACTTTAAATTTATTACTTAATATGTATCTATTATTTATTTATTTATGTATATTGTATGTTTATAATTTTTATTTATTTAATAGATTCAATAAAATAGATGATCTTAGTATCAATGAGCAATTATAAATTATTTTTTATTGACTTCCTTTTGCAGAAAGATCTCTAGGTCTATATTTAAACATTTTTATATTTATTTATAAAAATATCTTACCATAAAAAAATAAAAAAGTTCTTAAATTATTTATATCAATCTTATAAAGTTAGAAAAAAAATAGACAAATAATCTCTACTTATATTATAATTAATTTTTTATAATTATGAAATTAAAAATTTTTATTTATACTTTAGATGATTTTTTGTGAAGATAGTAATTTTTTTTTTTTTTTTTAATTTATAATAAAATTTTTTTAATTCATCCAGTAAAAGTTCAAAGTATTTAATTGCAACAAAATAAAGACTTTTAAAGTATAAAAATTATGTAAATTTGATTGAAAAAATATTTTATTGATCAATATTTTACAAAAATTCAATCAATTGACTACAATGTATAATTAGTATTTTATAACAATAATAATACATAAATTCAATATTATTTTCTTATCAACTTACAATTAATAATTGCATATTTATACCAAAAGTTCTATTGAAATTTGATTAAGCAAAATAAACATTTCTTCTAATACCTTTACAATAAATTAGACAAAATATTCATAACTTGTAACAACAGCGAAGGTACAAGACCAATTTGAAGAGCGCCTCCAACAAAAATATTCCCAACAGGTGACAAAAGTTGCCCTAACAAACCCCCAAACAAGCTTTTTTGATTAATCAGATTAAGAAGATTGCCAACCTGAGCTATCAAATTATTAACTTGCAATATAAGCGGGTTCTGGTTAGAATTTAAAAGACTGTTCAATAAATTCTGTAGGATAGCTCTTACTTCTGTTAATAAGGGCAAGAGTAATTGATTTTGATTTAGCGCGTTCGAGATTACATTGATCTGGAGTAATTGGTTCAATATGGAATTCAAAAGTGTTCCTATTTGATCAAGTAATCCACCCAATCCTACCACTTGTTGTTGTTGTTGTTGTTGTTGTTGAAATTGGCCATTTATTGCTACTAAACCGTTTACATTCGCCTGGTTCGCGTTTGCTTGGTTTCCTACATTAAGTATCTCTTGATTGTTATTTATCGCAACGCTTTTTGAGTTACCGCTCCCGTCATTAGAATTTGTACTTATGATATCACTATTTACCAAACTCCAAACGGAAATCTGAAATTTTATTAAATCTATCATTTTTAAAAACAATCAGAAATTTATATTTTTCTCCAGAGTTAAATTAAAAAAATTTTTTTATTAGTTGAATTAATATTTAAGTTAATAAATTACTTACAGTGATTACAAAAAGTAATTTCATCTCTTGACTCTAGAAAATTCTTCTGATACTTAACCATCATTTTCCAAACGCTATATACTAAAATTTTAAATAAAAAATCCTTATCAAATTTTAAAACAAACAATTACTTTAAGTATTTATTTATTAGATTGACAATCATAATCATAAGAATTATAAATAATTGATTTTTCTAAAGATAAAAGAGCATTAACCCAATTTAAATATCTACGACAGTATCTTCTCGACAATCTCGTCATTATAAATTCAAAGTTTTTTCCCAAAAATAATGTCAAGTTTATCAATCAAGCTTAAATAATCACACATTAGTATCTGAGTTTTTCTTAGAATAAATTATGACCATATAAACTGGCGATTAAGGACAAATAAATAATAAAAAAAAAAAAATAAACTGAAAAATTGTGTTTACGTATGTTCTACATTTTGTATATTTTTATATCTTATGTACACTTTGCATTTAAACATTTATTTTGTACAAGTTTTATTACTAATTACTTATAATTCGTAATATATAAAATTTGATTTTTACATATCTATATAATATAATATACAGTATAATATTAAGAAATGACTAAAAGATTCCACCGACACTGCGGTGATAATTAAGCTGTGCATGCTGTGCATAATCATAACCCTGATCATATCCCCAATCGGCTGTAGGATTAGCGCTGGACACTTGACTACCAAGGCTTGTATGACTGGAAGGATGATGACTGGAGTGACTGGTGTAGTCGTTGTTCTGAAAGTGGTTGAATTGTCCCCACCCGATCTGCGCTCGAGTCCAGTCTGCGTTACCTATTTTTAATAAAAAGTAAAAATTTTGTTAATAAAATAATCAAATTTTTATGGAATTAGAAAAAATTGATCATTTTTTAAGAAAAAAACTAAATTTTCAGAGTATAAGACCGTGCAAATTGGATTTTTTAAATAAATTGGTTTTTTGGAATAAAACTTATCAGAATTTTTTAATTAATCGATAAATTGACGCAAAACTTTTTCAGGATCAATATTTTTAAAATTTTTTTATAAGAAAAAATTTTACACTCTAAATTAATAAAAAATTTGAACTATACTGAGAAGATATATAGATAAAAAAAAATTTTGAGGACTTTCCGAGAAAAAACCATTTTTTTGAAATTTTAAGTAGGAATTTTTTACGTAAGAATTCTTTTAAATAGTGTTTGCGACATTAAATTTTGAAATATTAGCATTTAAAATTTGTATATTTTACATACAAACATTTACATTAAATATCAATCGTACTTTTCTTAGGATTGCTTTAAAAAACTGAGAATCATCAATTGAGGAGCTGATTTTCAAAAGGGTATCTTTTCGTATTTTAAAAGAGCAGTTTTTTGAACTTTTAAATATTAATTACTTCGAGAATCATAAAGATTTCTAAATGAAAATCGAACTGTAGCTTCATAAACGATAGCAATGTATAGCTAAATTAAAAACATTCAGTAAAAATATTTATAATTGAAGATAACCAATTTTTTGTCTCGATTAATAAAAAATCAAAAGATACCCTTTTGAAACTCAACTCCTCAATTAAAGAAATAACAAGTATTTTTTATCAAAAATAACACAAACGAGCGGTATTCATTTTTTTATAAAAAAAATTTGAAGTTAGTGACTTTCGATATTTTACGTGAGTGGAAGTAAGTGAGTGATAGTCTGTAAAGAGAGGCAGCATTAATGCGTGAGAAAGAAACCAATAGCCACAACCTATTGGTGTCTTTTTCTTGTCTAAGAACGTTCTTAGGAAAAAAAATTCTGAATTGTTTCTAAGAAGAAATTTTACAGTAACTGAGCTTTGAAATAATGCATCCAAAAAGTGATTGAAAAATTGATTGTAATTAAAAATAAAATAATAAATTGTCTGGACAAACTAACCAGAATTATGAGTATGACTTAAGGTTGTTGGTGCAGCATGAGCAGTGGGCGGCTGAATCGTAGGCACCTGCCCAATTTGCATAACATTATTGGCATGACCCGATAGCCCGGTAAGTGAACCAGGTATTGCGACAGAATGGGGCTGTAATCCGGAGCTCATTGTCGTGGTGGGTACTTGGGCCATCGTGCTAGACATGTGGTTGCTCAGCGAGCTCGCTGGTATTTCGTGAACACTTGTCGGCGTCATTTGATGAAGCGATTGATGCAGACTCGTAGGCACCTGGCTGGCTGGCATTCCTACAGCCATTTGTGGCACTTGTGACAAGTGTCCTAATTCATGTGGACCTGGGTATTGACACGGCGTCAATGGTAGACTGGGTACTGAGGGAATACCACTCCCGTTGTTTCCTTTCCGAAGGCGGGCTCTGCGGTTACTGAACCATACCTGAAATATTTTATAAATAATATTCCTCATTATTACGATCACAATCTATCTTGTTTATTTTGGCTTTACAGAATGTGGGTTTTGTTATGACGCAACTATCTAAGTAAATATCTCAAGTTTGCTCTGAAATTATTTATCTATTAATTTAATTTACTTTACTTTGAGTTTGTGGATCAAACCTACAAGTGCAATCAAAAAAAGTCGAATTAATTTTTCGAAAAACATTTTCAATAGAATATCTTCTTATCAAAATAATTGATAATTTTTATGTAAATATATCGATGGATAATTTTACTGTTATAACATATATGTTGCCAAGGTTGAATGCACAGAAAAAAATATGTTCAGATTCTAGTTATTTTTTATTGTTTCAAATTTAAACTTTTTTTACTTTACAAATAAATAGCTGTTATTATTTATTATAGTTCATTTTTTTTTTTTTTTTCGTGTGGCAAGGAAGAAAAAAACACATCGATGATAAGTGACAATATTTAATTAAAAATTCATTAAATGTAGCTTGTGATAAACTGGACAGCATTTCAGAATGTTCTAACTTTTTTTTGATTACTTGAAGAGTTTTATCGTTTTTATGAGATCATTTATAGTTCATAATACAAAAAAATATATTTATGTACTTAGAAAAAAAAATAAGGCTGATAATTTTTTAATATTCAATAACTTACTATAAAAATCAATTTAAAAGATAATTTTTTTGACTTATTTTTGATTATAAAAATATTACAAGCTGAAAAACAGAATTTAATTTAGAATGATTGTACTTATGATGTGATAGAAAAATGAAATTAACCTGTATCCGAGCTTCGGTCAATCCAGTCTGTTGAGCCAATGCTTCCCGGGCATACACATCGGGATATTGCGCTCGCTGAAACGCAGATTCTAATTGTTCTAACTGGCTACCACTGAAAGTGGTTCTACTGCGACGTTGTTTTCGCTTTAATGGAATACCAGGCTCACTCTCGGTGTCTGAATCATCGCAACGACCTGGACATTAAAAAGAAAAAAGGTTATTACATCACACAGTTATTACTTCATTAGTTTATTGTCTGCTTGCATAATAACTCGTTGTTGTTTTTATTTATTTGCAGATTTTTGTGGTAAGAAAATAATTGTTTTTTTATCAGATTCCTTTTGTTTGTTTTGTGTAGTTTATATATTTTTTAAATTATTCATAAACGACTGTAGTTTATCGTTAAGTGAACGAGTCCTTATGAGCTTATGCTTTTTAATACGTTGCGCATATATGCACTCATGACGAAATGCTCTGGGTACATATGCGTCACGCTCTTTGAGGCATTCATAAAATGTAACTCGTAAAAAGACTTTTCTCATCTTGTATTTATTATTTATATGTACGGATATATGTGTACGTTAATGTACAGCCATTTTGTCATTTTAAATATACGCGTACAAGTGTTATTAATAATTATTTCACTCTAGTTTTAAAAATTTTTTTTTTTGGAATTTAATTAAAAGTAAAAATATGCATATTCTTTTCTTATTTTTAATATTTCTTTGGAAATTATATTGATGGCATATTTAAATTCTAATTAATCAAATAATTATCCTATTGGATAAATTTGTATTTTGTTTATAATTATTAAATTTAAAAAATCTATAAATTATAATGAGTAATTAATGAAGTATGATATAAAAACAATTATTATTTATTTTCTTTAGAATCTTTAAAAGAGAAAAAAAATTTTTAAATCAAGTAAAATTTTCTCTAACCAAGAATAATTTTTTAATTATAGAATTTTTTTTCTTCATTAAAGATAATCTAATTTTTCAAAATGATTTTCTTGGTTCAATATTTTTTCTTTATCATTACTTTATTAAAAATATTTTACAAACATTATAATCAGAGTATAATTTTTCTAAAAAATAATTTATGTAAACGATATGTAACAAATGAATTTTATTAATCACAATATAAAAATAAATATTGTAAATTATTGAATTGACTCATAAACAAAAAAAAAATCCTTGACATAAATTTAATCCCCGATGTTTGTAAAATTAATAATTTCCTTCAATATATGTTCTTTATATTTCTACAAAACTAGAATCCAAAATCACGGACAAATGCTCACTAAATAAAATATTATTTTATATCCCCAAAATTGCATTGAAATTTAGCAATCGCTGAGCAAAGAAGAAACACAAATAAACAGCAAATCCAAATTTACAAACATATAAGTCGACTTTACATTATTATTACTCTATTTCTATTATATTGTTGGCATTGTCCATTATATCACTATTCTGGAGCTAATCTCGAGTAAGAGAGTTTATACATATTATTATTATTATAATAATAATAATAATAGATATATAGCCTCGTGCGATGCTCTTTCTTGTCGCTTACATATCCATATGGGAATTAAATCTCATGGTTGATGGAGCGCGATACAATCGCTTCAACTCTCGTCTTCTTTCGGTCAATTGAGAATACTTTGTGGGATTTCATTTCATTCCTTTACAAACGTGATCTCGTTGAGAGTTTTAAGTGTAGTCCTCTGTCTGAAGCCCCCTGACTATAGTCTTGATCGCGAGTTTGTTATGATACTCTAAATGGACAAACACTTGAGTCTTACGCCCTGTCAATCGAATTTAACATTATATTTTGACGTTCATCTCTTTTTTAAATACATTTTCATTCTTATTCTTCTTATTATTATTATTATTATCATTATCATCATAGTTGTTTATTATTATAGAGTAAAATCTGATCCAATGCTGGAATAATTTCCATGGTGTATAAATAAACATTATAATACCATTTGGTATAACTCAACACAATACAATAAATACACAGTACAATTTTTTTCTGTGCTTGACATAAATTAAAAATTTTTACGCTTAACATCATCAAATCATCATTAATTAATCCACTTATAATTATTTGATTTGAATAAATTTTAATTCAAGTAGAAAAAAATTTTTTTTTTATTTTTTTTATAAAAAAAAATTAAGACAAATTTTTTTTTCTTAATTTTTTACATAAAAAACTGAGAAAAAAATTTTCATTCATTATTTAAAGAAGAAATAATTATTTTCACCCCAGATGTTGTTAAATTGAAATATAAATATATGATATGACATTTTAAAAGAAAAAATGACCTGTAAAAATATTAAATACAAATTGGTTTAAAAGTTTTCCGACATTGTGATACTTTAGGCGTGAGAAGACTATCGAAAAATAAAAATTTCAAAGGTAAAGTTGTGCCTTGAGCACAGAGTATTATGTCGAACTACTCGTAATTTAATTTTCAGTATCCCCAGGAAGTCCTGACTGTTTGGACACCTCCGGCCGGTGAAGTAAAAAGGGATCCTATGGAGATAAATGGGATCGGTGTTTCAGGAGTTTTCGTCGCTCACAGTACGACCTGTGACACACCAAGGATAAATAGTGCACCTACGTATTGTATGTTGTACATTATACCTTGCGCCGGTATGACACTAATAGCGTTAGCTTTTAAATGTATATCTGTATATAGAATAAAATCTATATAATAAAAGTTAAGTAGAAAGGGCCGTACGTGATACACGGGAATACAATAATAAAAAATTTAAATGAAAAGGAAGATGAGGTTTACCGAAAATACACAACAAACATGAAAAAGAAGGCCGCTTTGATCTGCGCGGGGGTTTGCAATGACAATGCACAACCTGCGGTTTATGTTATTATATTTATTGAATGTCAGTAAAAGGAAATTGAAAATAGACATGAGACGATGAGTGAAATGAAAGAGAAATATTATATTATATATTATATGGATCGGGGATGAGGATGAGGATGAATAAGATCATATCCAGAGAAGGAGATCCAACCGAAGGTAAATGAGGAGGAGGACGAGGAGAAGTAGTAGGTGTAGACGAACAAGTTTAAAAATTAAAGCACAGGAATATTCCCAGCGGCGTCCTTTCAAGTGTTTGCGGGCTGGCTGTTGCTTTGGAACACGTCACATTTGTCAAAAAGTCACACTACACCGGAATCGGGTCGTCTTACTGTAGTTTATACACTACATCTTTGGTTATATTACCAGCGACACGTTTAGTTGTAGTTATGTGTTATGTGTACAAGTCAAGTCAAGTTAAGTAGTCGAGTGGGAGAGAATAAATTATACAATAGGACACAACAGCCCAGGGAAATCTATCTTTTGTTGTTATTAGTCTCTTTGCTTTACTATTTGTTAATATTATTGTGATAATGTATTTGTATTATATTGTTATTGTTGTTGTTGTTGTTGTTAGTAATATTACGTGTTGTGTACTTTTTTTGTCGCTGTTAGACAAATATTTCTCATTAAAATCTATGGTAGAAGAAAATAGGTTGAGAGCGCTTATTCTTATTTTATAATTTTTAATATCAAGAAAATATTATTTGATTTTTACAAAAGATTTAATTACTATTTATGTTGTTTAGAATTATCTTGATTTTTTTTTTTAAATAAAAATTACCATTTTTAAAAAATATTTTATAAGAAAAGTTAAGATAAACTTTAAAATTTATAAAACTAGGCCTTATTACTTGCGGATGCCTTATATTTTGTATTTATTTGACATGTATATGGAACAATTGTACCACTGTTATATGACACGTAAAAAATTTTATGAAATTTCCAGTAAACTTGTGTAGAATTTCATAACTATTTAAAAATGTTATGACTTTTCAAGAAGTAGTAAAAAATTTATTGAATTTTGGTTTGTACTTGTAAGCAATGCCAGGAAATTTCGGAGCGCTGTAATAAATTATTTCGTAACATATATGTTTTAACTATAAAATTTAAAACTTACTACACCTAGATATTTAAAGTATTGTCAGTCGAAGAATTTATTGATGGCTAAAATTGGAGTTGTAATAAATTTGCAAGTTTTTTTTAAATAATTTAAAATAAAAAATATTTTATTAATAATGATTTAATGATGTAATAAAAAACTTAATTAAATTATGGGGAAAATAAAAACAAATAGTAAATTTGGTGTGATGTTATTGTACTATTCGGGGGTTATTGTAAACTATTTATACTGACAAACATAACAAGTCGAGGTTTTGTTTGTGTATGAGCTTCAGCAAGCCGAGTACGAAGTATATAGAAGTTTGTATGTAATGTGGTAGACCTAACATGGGTTAAGGCGAAAGGCATAATATAATATGTATAAATAAATAAAAGAGAGAAGAGTCAAAGGGAAGAGAAAAAATAAAAAATGTGTATGTGTCCATGAGTAGAGAGGTGACAAGAATTTAAAAGAGCCGCCGGGTATTATTGGAAAGATGCAACTTGTCTCACGATCTATTCTTTCTATTCTTAAGATTGTCCAGTAGATGTAACCATACCGAGTCTCAAAGGTACCGACGGCTTTACGCTATGACGCCCCTTCATCAGAAAAAAAATGTAATATATTACATTATACAACCTGCTGTATTTTGTTGTAGTTCTTGTTTAGTTATTGTGTTTGTAAAAGAGATCATCAATGTTTGACTTTTTAAAAATACCATTTTTATTTTTAAATTTAAATTCAAACTTTTATTATTTTTATTTTTATTTTATTATTAATAAAAGTGACTAATTTTTCATTCCTTAATAGTTTTTAGAACTTGGTGACTTGGGTTTATGTCAGGTCGTGGAACTTTTTGTCGGTAACGCGCAAGTGTCGGATTTTATTTAACTGTTCAGTTTTTCCCATGAAGATTAGATTTTTTTTTTTTTTTGTTAATTATTGAATATTAATTTAATGGCGAGGATTTAAAAGGACCAAGAGGATGTTGATGTGAGAAAAAAATAGTTCCGAGGCACAACACTGACACTCGACCCTTTGGAGAGAAAGATTTTTCATCCACTTGGTGCAGCAAGAAAAAATAATAAAATAAAATAAGAGTTGGTTGGAAGAATGAAAGATAAAATAAAAATAAAAAAAAAAAAACGAAATAAAATAAATATAAAAAATAACTAGAGGGTGTGATCGTTTAAAGGCCAT